ACCTGTTTAACTTGGGTGTGACCGGGCAGATGTGCATCCACTCGCTCACCTGTGTGGAGCGCTACCTGGCCGTGGTTCACCCAATCCCGTACCTGCGTTTGAAGAAAAGGGGCGGGGTTATGATTAGGAATGTCAGCATAGCGACTGCGTGGATCCTGTGCGCGGGGTTTGTAAGTTTCTCAATCATCCCCGATTTCGCAAATATAGATAAAATGTCGATTATCGGTGTGACAGTGGTAGCCGTGGGTATAGTCTCCTTCTGTAGCGTTTCAGTTCTCTGCGTTCTGATTCGTCCAGGGCCTGCGAAAGGGGGAGGGGACGTGAAGCGGGTGAACCAATTGAAACACAGAGCTTTCGTGACCATGATGGCCATTATGGGTGTGCTGATGTTGCGATTTGTGGTGCTCGTCTCGGCGTACGCGATGTTTATTCTGAAGCTGATGGACTTTGAGAGTTCCTGTCTGATGACGATGGCGGCGGCGTGGTTTTACCTGCCGAGCAGTGTGGTGCTGCCGTTAATGTTTTTGCACAAAGCGGGAAAACTGCCAAAATGTCAGTTTCCAAGGTGTGAGCAGTGAATCTTCTGCTCTGACCCTCTCCTCTGCTCCTTTGCTCCTCTCTGCTCTTCTCCTCTGACCCTGTCCTCTGCTCCTCTCCTCTGCTTCTCTGCTTTGCTCCATCTGATGCTCTCCTCTGCTCCTTTGCTCCTCTTTGCTCCTCTTCTCTGCTCCTCTGACCCTCTTCTCTGCTTCTCTGACCCTCCCTCTTATCCTCTCCTCTGCACCATTTGACCCTCTCCTCTGCTCCATCATACCCTCTCTTCTGCTTCTCTCCTCTACTCAAACTGACCCTCTCCTCTGCTCTATTTGACCCTCTTCTCTGCTCCTCTGACCATCTCCTCCTCTGACCCTCTCCGTTGCTCCTCTCCTCTGCTCCTCTGACCCTCTCCTCTACTCCTCTGATCCTCCGACCCTCTCCTCTGATCCTCTAACCCTCATCTGACCCTCTCCTCTACTCCTCTAATCCTCTGACCCTCCTCTCTGCTCCTCTGACTCTCCTCTGATCCTGTAACCCTCTTCTGACCCTCTTCTCTGCTCCTCTGATCCTCTAACCCTCATCTGACCCTCTTCTCTACTCCTCTGACCCTCTCCTCTGCTCCACCTGACCCTCTCCTCTGCTCCATCACACCCTCTCCTCCTTTGATCCTTTCTCCTCTGTATCCTCTGCTACTAAGAGCAGTCATATAATTCAATGTCAGATCAGTGTGTGTGGTGTTGATTTCACAGGTAGACCACAGAATATGGATGGAGATAGTCTGGATGTGTTATGCAAAGTCGCAGGGGCCTGAAGCTGTCCGCCTGTGAAAGAATATTGCATTCTGGTACATTTTAAATATAACCTTAAGAAAAGAGTCTGTAGTGATCTGCTGTCTGTGAGAATAATGTTTATGTGTGTTCATATTTCAGTGTGTAAATGTGGGTTTGGAGTTCTGGTGAGGGGTTGTTGTGGTTTGTTTTATAGCTGTATCTTAAAGGGTCTATATTACGCAAACGTGACTCCTGTGAGCTTTAAACCATGTTATTATGTTGTTTCCTCCTCAAAAGGTAGCAACATTATACACAACAAAACACAACATATCTGGACTTGTGTTTTGTTTCATTCACACGTTTGATTAACACTTTATTATTAGTTTGTCTACATCTCCAAAGCTCAGAATGCTTTATTCCACCTTGTAATGTCATGTAGTAGACGTTTTCAAGCTCCTTTTACCTTTAGATTAGATTTGATACTTTACTATCTTGAAGCAAATGTGTTTTTCACACACAGCATACAATACATAACTCAGTGCATAATACAGAATGCAATACAATACATAATTAAATATATAACATCAATTATCATGCTTTTACTAATCAGTGATGATGTCATTTTATTGTTGCTTGTCTGTACTAGTACGTATGCATTGACGTGCGCTCTGGGGAGGCAGGGCGGGCCGTGCTCACCTGTCATTTTGCTGATTAAAAACCTGTTCAGTGTCAGTAAGAATAAGTAAGAATAAATAATGACTTTATATATTCTATATATATTGTTATTTACCACATTATGGTTGTATGATTTGTGGTGAGTTTTGTGGTTTAAAACAGTAAAATGTCTCAGTACTTGTCTTTATAATGCATAGAGACAGGAGGTGAGACACTTTATGCCGACAGCTCAGCCACAAACACAATCAAAAGGGCGAGTTCATTCAGCTCTCTCTGCTTCTCTACCTAACGTTATAAAATACCTTAGGTAATAACTTTTTGACCTCTGATCTCCTGGCCAGGTGAAAGAGTTTTTTAATCTCAGTGGATTTTTTCCCCTGGTTAAATAAAGGTTAAATAAAAATGAATAAATAAAAAAAATGTGAATGAAACAAAACACAACTCCAGGTCTGACTGTGAGGAGGAAACAACATTAGAACATTCTATAGATCAGAAAATAGCCTTTAAAATTGATGAAATACATACTTACTTATACATACTTATTTATTTGTATTTATTTGTAAAAGGGGACAGCACATATTAATGGACATTTAAAATGTAAATATGTAAAGATTATAGCTTGTGTGGCTCATTTCCATCTTCAGTCCCTCAGCAGGTTGATGTGAAATCATCTACAGGACAGAGAAATGTACAACAATCACACAAAAGTACACAACACCAGCACAATCACTATACATACAACACACTCACTATACACACAACACACTCACTATACAAACAACACACTCACTATACATACAACACACTCACTATACAAACAACACACTCACTATGCAAGTTCAAAGTCATGTAAAATATGTAATAACTAAATAAAACGTGTATATCTGTTTGTTTGTTTGTTGTCATTCAAAATCAGCCTCATTAAATCAAACCGGTTCTACATTAAAAAACCACAGACAGGCACATCCTTCACCACATCACACCCAACAGGAAGCTCAGTGTTTACAGGATAAACAGTGATTCGAAAGTAGCAGAAGGTTTAACCAGAAAAAAAACTGAAACTTGAAGTTATACTAGTGAAGACCAGAAAACAACCAATAAAATTATCCAGAAAGTGTATAGTGTATTCTGCCAATGACAAACCCCCAATAATATATAAAGCAATCTTTAAATAAATACGTGAAGGAGCGGAGCAAGAAAAATGTACAAGAAGAGAAAAACTCAAGTCTAAATATGCAGGATTTGTATGAATGAAACAAATATGATGAGGAAACAACATTAGAACACAGATCATAAGTACTATGAGGCCCTTTTCTTCTGTCCACATAAAGTTTTTGTCACTTGTAGATTTACTCACAGTGAGAGGAGGAACCAAAACTTTTACTTAAGTAAGAGTACTGTTACTCTGTCAAATGGGACTATTCAGTATAGATGCATCACGAATTTCGGACTTTCGGTCATTGCTCAAGGCATACTGGGAAGGATTTTCTGAAAAAGTGAGCATCAAACTGTCGTGTTTGTTTTCCCATTTAAGTTTCTAACAACTTAACCTGTTTCTATGGAGATGTCATTGCTCTGCCTGTAATGTTCCACAGTATGACATTAAACAGCTCTGCCTTATTCATTCAATAACAGGGTGTTTAAAAGCTCAAAACACCCAAAAAAACAAGTACCGTATTTTCCGCACTATAGGGCGCTCTCTTAAGCCTCCAACTCCATCAAAAAACACCTGCGAGCCCCACAATCCAGAACGCCCTATACACAAATTCACTCAGGTGTCCCAGCACGACTTCAGTAAACTATAAAGCCGCACCACCCACAGACACACTCATCACTCCACGCCGACGAGGAACAGAACGGAGGAGCGGACCAAAAAAGCGAGTGCAATGTGCCACTTCTAGACACAACTAAACAACTAAGTCACTGCGAACACGCAGTTTTCATCCAACTGTTGTGTTTGGTTTAAAGTCCGGTGCGGTTTTATTTGTGAAAAAAGTTTGAAAATAGACCATTCAATGCCTTATAATCCAGAGCGCCTAATAGTGCGAAAAATACGGTACTCTTTTTTTGGGTATTTTGAGCTTTTAACCAACCTGTGAATAAATAATTCAGAGCTGTTTAATGTCATACAGTGGAACATTACACGCATAGCAATTACATCTCCATCGAAACAAGTTAAGTTGTTAGAAATAAGAAAAAAATTACATCTTTATGATAAGGTCATCTCTCCACAGATCTTACCTGTAACTCCGAAGTACCACTTCAGACAAAAGTCAAAAAAGACAAAAGTCAAAAAGTCAAAACAGACATTTTGACAAAACAAAGTGAATTTTAACCTAAAATTATAACAAAAACATGTCCAGATTTTCTTTTATTTCACTTTGTCTTGGTGCTTAGACTTGTGATGTTCATTTTTGTCAATATATTTGTTAGGATCAGGGTCAAGTTTAGGAACAGATAAAAGTGATAAAAGTGTAATAATATTTATTTATCTTTTTCTTACAGCTCAGTTTTACCAAGACCCGGTTAACAGACCTAACTGAAAACCTTAAAGAGCCTATATTGTGCAAAAATTTACTCTTGTGAGCTTATGCACTATGTAACTTTTTGGTTGGGGGTCCGTCACCTTCTATGGATATATCAAAACTCTGTTTGGAATGTTCCACAGTATGACATTAAACACCTCTGCCTTACATTTACTCAATTACAGGTGGTTTTATTGCTCAAAAATACCCAGAAGAACGAGTATGAGTGAGGTCGCCTCTGCACAGATCTGGTTTGGTCTCCATGAAGACAGAAAGGTTTAATGCCATACTGTGAAACATTCCAGACGAAGCAATAAAAAGAAAAACGGACCCCCCCCATCAGAAAAGTTACGCAGATTTTCATATTTTAAGCACAAAATGTCTTGTTCCAGATTGAAATTTTCCCAGATTTATGCAAACCTTCTTAATTCAAATCATCTTAACTTGGCTAGATTTTAGTCTCTACGTCCACTCGGGCACTCTTCGGTAATCTACTCGAAACTTAACTTGAACACAACCATACATTTATCGCGTACTGACAGCTCTGGATGCGTTTTGTGCGAAATGAAAGCGAAACTTAGGGAATAGTATTGAAAGAGAGCGCAGAGGGCGAGACAGACGCAGCGAAGAGGACTTCACGAACAGGTAAGCGCTGGGAATGCACATATTCTAATTTAGCACATCGGTAAACTCAAAATTAGCCACAATTAAAGAGCAAAAGCGTGAAAATATTGGTAGTTAATGCATTTTTAGCGGCTGTATGTTATGCTACTCGTGCGTAAAGTTATCAAAAAACTTACGCTTCCTGCAATTTTATACTTGTAGTCATTTATTTTTTGCAACTCACAGAATGATTTCAGCTAGATTGTCTTTAAAAACATCATACAGACTAGTTTGACTGTACAAAACAAAACTATAAATTGTTAAAATTCTGAATGAAAAATGTAGACTGTCGTGCTACTTTAACACGTAAAACATGATCGGTTACTCGACAGCTTTATTCAGTTTCTATCTGTGTTTAATTCACATTTCCAAACGTCACTAGAGCAGGATTTTCAAGGCAAGAATAAATAAAAAAAAATCCTATCCTTGGTTCACAGTTTCCGCGGTTTTTACGCACGTTACGCAAGAAACCCTACGTCTTATATTCAGTGTGTACTTTAGGCTCATTAAAGGTGTAACTGTGTAACCTTCTGGATTGCTGTTTCCATGGAGATGTTATGGTAAATATGGCCTGGTAAAATAGAAGTATAATAGTGTTTATTCATTCATATCAATTACAGTTAACTTGAAAAATAACTTGAACTGACTCCGTAGAGATAGATAAGTTTTAATGTCACACTGTGGTACATTCCTGGTGAAGCACGTTCGCTTGCTCTTCACTAGAAAGCAAGTCTGCATTCTCTTCAGTAGACAGGTTACACAATACACCAACACACGCCCATATTACAGTATTTTATGATCCGCTCTAATGTTGTTTCCTCATCACACACAGACCTGGTGTTGTGTTTTGTTTCATTCACATGTTTAACTCACAAACCCTGCAGATTTAGGCTGAGCTCTTCTCTCAGACTGAAAATTAAAAGGTGCTGTTAACTTAAAAACTACCGCTTGGAACAGAGCGTTTTGAGCTTTGGAGATGTAGACAGACTGATAATAAAGAGTTACTCAACCATGAATGAAACAAAACACAATACTTATATACATAACTCGGCATTAGCACTAAATCCATAATAACAACAACACTGGTGCATTGGCTTAATACGGCTCTAACAAACAGTGTTGGGAAGTAACAGATTACATGTACAGGAGTTATGTAATCAGAGTACAAATTATGAGTAACTGTATTCAGTTACAGTTACTGTTTCCATGAGTGGTAACTGGATTACAGTTACTTTGTTGAAATAATTGGATGACATGGAGATATTTTCACATTTATTTACCCCCCCTTTTTTTTTTTTCCCCGGTAATTCCACTCATTGCTGGAAACTAAACCAGGTCTAAACTAGATCTAAAACAGGTCTAAAACAGGTCTAAAACCAGGTCTAAACCAGAACTAAAACAGGACTAAACTAGATCTAAACTAGATCTAAACCAGGACTAAACTAGATCTAAACTAGATCTAAACTAGATCTAAACCAGGACTAAACTAGATCTAAACTAGATCTAAACCAGGACTAAACTAGATCTAAACTAGATCTAAACTAGATCTAAACCAGGACTAAACTAGATCTAAACTAGATCTAAACTAGATCTAAACCAGGACTAAACTAGATCTAAACTAGATCTAAACCAGGACTAAACCAGGACTAAAACAGGACTAAATCATGCTGCTTGGACGTATCTCCTCCTCTTCTATTAATAATATTTTTAATATGGTTAAGTAAAGTCTGGGCTTTTTATTTTCTTTTAACAGACAAAACATCTTATGTTACGATATTCTAGTCTTTGCTTCTCTACAGCAAATCAAGTAATCCAAAGTATTCAGATTACGTTACTCACTTTAGGTAATTTAATGGATTATGTTACAAACTACATATTGGTGCATGTAATCTGTAATCTGTAGGGGAATACATTTTAAAAGGAACCTTCCCAACACTGCTAACAACAACATTATAACATGGCTTAAAGCTCAAAAGAATCCATTCTGTGTAATATAGAACCTTTAAATAATCTTTATAAGTTTGGATCACCACAATACTACACTTTTTTCAAAATATTTGATCTTGAATGAACTCGTATTACCCTTTTTAGAGCTTCTTTTTTGCCTTTAGAATCAAATTCAAAAAGGTTTTTACTAGTGGTGGAAGGTAGGAAAGTACAAAAGTAAAAGTACACCACTTAAATAAATGTTTTAGGTATTTGTACTTTGCTTTAGTCAGTTTTACAGGGGATACTTTTTACTTTTACTTCACTACATTTGAGAGCAGGTATCTGTACTTTCTACTCCATTACATTTTAAATCTGGACTGAAAAGTAAAAAGTACTTTTCTTGGTGGTTTGAGACCTGCTGAAATGGCTGAAACGTATTTTTAGCACTTTTAATTTGCATTAACATCCTGACTTTGAGAAAACCAAAAACACAAACACGCAAAAAGGCTAGAAAATTTAATAAATCAGTTGAATCATTTAAAATCAGTTAAATTCTTTTTAAAAATTGCTTCATTTCATTCTATAATTGTTCCTAAAAATCTCTGCAAAACACTTTTGCTCTTAAAGTTAATTTTTAAACAGGTACTTTAATACTTTTACTTAAGTGTAGTTTTTCATGTGATGCTTTTAATTTTACTTGAGAAATTTTTAATTTTTTTTTACCTTTGTATCTTTATTTTATTTAGTAACAAAATTGAGAACGCCATCCAACACTGTTTTTTCCTGACAGTGAATTAAAACAACCTCCTGGTGTGGAGATGCAAAATATATTGAACTGCTAACGTCATCAGGCTGCTACTGTCAGCTGACATTTGTTTGTGTGCCTTGCCCTCTCTGGAAACTTTCCATTACATTTTATAATACGTAGTGCTCAAGGTAATGGATTCATCATTTGGACACTAGAGGGCGGTGTTGAGCACAGGTCAGACTTACACTTTAACTTGAAGGTGTTTATAAAAAGCTCAAGTTTACAAGTGTATTTATTTTAGCAGGGATCGTTTTTACTTCGAGCACTAGAGGGCAGTCAGATTGTTTTAACAGGGACTGTTTAGTTTGGGCAGATAGTTTTGTTTAACATTTCCATACATATTAATAGTACCTGTAGTTTAATATGGAAATGTTAAACAAGCCTTTGTGCCCAATCAGAAGGACTGAATGACTGAATCCTCCTCCCTGCACACCTGCAGTGTGTGACCTTAAACTGGCCCTTACCTCTCACTCATGATCACACCCTGAAGAAGGCACAAGCCGACATGTGTTGGTGTGTTTTTAATGCTTCCTGTTTACTCACAGTAAAGGCTTTTAAATATTCTGTAACTAAGTGAGTGCCTGATATTTTTCTTTTTCTCAATTAACTGCACCCTTCTTCACGAGCACCAGTACCCGAAATGTACACCAGGAGCGTCAGCAGCACGTCTGTGTATTGTCACATTTAAACACTAAACTCTGTGTATTGTCACGTTTAAACACTAAACTCTGTGTATTGTCACGTTTAAACACTAAACTCTGTGTATTGTCACGTTTAAACACTAAACTCTGTGTATTGTCACGTTTAAACACTAAACTCTGTGTATTGTCACGTTTAAACACTAAACTCTGTGTATTGTCACGTTTAAACACTAAACTTTTTACATGGTTTATGTATTTATTGTTGAATTGGGTTTTTAATCACAAAACAAAAGTTGACAACAAGAGAGACAAATCTTTGCAGTGATCACAAGCCATGTCTGCGGCGTTCACATTAATTAAGCTCCTCAGTGGGGTTAGTCACGTGGATCCCAGCAGCTCCCTGTTTCTACTCTTACACTATAATATTGTTGCCTCATCACAAACAGACCTGGAATTGTGTTTTGTTTCAATCACACATGTTTAATAGTTAAACACTGCATATTTAGACTGGGCTCTACTCCTTAATGGAAAACACTGTTCCACCTTGTGATGTCACATGGTAATACAGGAAGTGCTCCATTGTGTTTTCAAACTCCATATACCTTCACTAGAATCATTTGAATGATTTCAGCCCTGAAATTGCCAATCTCCACTGAACAAAAGGTAAAAGGTAACTATTAACTTGAAAACTGCTGCTTCATGACATCACAAGGTGGAACAGAGCATTTTGAGATTTGTGAATGCACAGACTAATAATAAAGGGTTACTCAGGTCTGTTTTTGAGGAGGTAACCACATTATAACAGGACTTAAAGCTCAAAGAGACAATTTAGTGTAATATAGGACCTTTTAATGTTGTGATTTCCTTTTTTTAGGTTGTAAAGATGTCTGATGGGAAGAGCATGCAGATCTGCCACTGTGGCTGGTCTAAACACACGACATATCATGGTCTAAGAACTCACCAGGGGAAGAAAGGGTGTACCCCAAGGTCGACCCCAACCCGAAGCTCGGACTGCACAGCTCAGATCATCTTTAATACTTACATCCCCAAATTCACATATGCGCCTAGCGCTCCTTGTGACAACTTCCTGATGAGTGAGTAGTTTTTATGTTATAATGGTATTATAATGGTGACTGCAAATTAAAAGAAAATAATTATAGCATAGTGTCTGAAAAGCTTACATAAAGAAATCTAACTTTTTTTTCCCTCCCAGGGCAAATACAGGATGTGATTAAAGAATCAGAGGTAAAGACAAGTTTCACTTTCACTAAAACATTGTATTTAAAGAGCCTATATGACTCTATTTTCTGATCTATGTTCTAATGTTGTTTCCTCATCACAAACAGACCTGGAGTTATGTTTTGTTTCATTAACACACAAACCTGCAGATTTAGGCTGAGTTCTTCTCTCAAACTGAAAACACTCTGTTCCACCTTGTGATGTCATGTGGTAATACAGGAAGTGCTCCACTTTGTAATTGTAATAGGTAGATGTTAACTTGAAAACTACAACTTCATGACATCACAAGGTGGTACAGAGCATTTTCAGCTTTGGAGATGTAAAGAGACTAATAATAAAGGATTATTCAAACATGTATGAATGAAACAAAACACAACTCCAGGCATGTTTTTGAGGAGGTAACAACATTATAACATGACTTAAATTTGCATTGTGGAACTTTTCTGGTGGAGGGTCCATCAAATGCTTTTCTCCATGGAGATGTTATTGCTTTGTCTGGAATGTTTCACAGTATGGCATTAAACCTTTCTATCCTCATGGTGACCAAATCAGTTCAATCAAATCAAATGCATTTTTGAGCAATAAAACCACCTGTATTTAAATAAAAGCCCAAACTGCAGAACATTCCAGGCAGAGCAGTGACATATCCAAAGAAACAAGCAGGTGACAGACCCCAACCAAAAAAGTGCATCTTTAAAGCTCACAAGTACAGTTGTTGCAATAACCACAAAAATGAATCACCACGGTACTAAGAGGCCCACCGCAGTGCATGTTGAGCCACCGTGATCACCGCACGTGACCAAAGTGACTCGACCCAGAGTCCTGCACGGGTCCATTTTTAGAGACCCACATCTTCCACCCACTACCATCCACTATCGGTTCTCTCTCTCTTAAGTCCGCGGGTACCCGACCTAGAGCAGGACTCTGACCCGAGCTGCCACAGTGAGAGCTAGGAAAGATGTAGTGGCACTTGTACCAAAGCCAAATGTTACTTAGCCCACGTTAAACACACTATATCCACACGACAACCAAGGTACATGTGCATCTGCGCAACAAGCACATCATTGGAGAGACTTTTCAGTGCCGCTGGAAATATTATAACTCCAGGGGATAGGGGTGGAGTAGAAGGTGCGATATCACCACATACCGCTCTGTTGAACTGCTATACGGCACCACAGGAGAAATTCCCGAACTGCGACAGCCGTACTCACAAGAGTCAGTTTTTGCATAGTATAGGCTCTTTAAGGTTTTTAGTTAGGTCTGCTAACCGGGTGTTGGTAAAACTGAGCTGTAAAAAAATGATAAATAAATATTATTACTAGGGGTGTAATGGTACATGTATTTGTGCTGAACTGTTTCGGTACGGGACGTTAAATTGGGGCTGTGCACGAGTGAATTTACGCAATTTGAGGCTTTGCTCTTTAATATTCATGAGGGATCTTGTCCGTGACTGGGGCAGTGTTTCCCGCAGCGCTTTATAGTTAGGGCGACCACCTTGACAACAATTACCCCCGCCTTGACTATGCCCCTCCACACCACATGAATCCTCACAAAACTCCGGTCGTCACGCCCCAGTCCTCACTTTTGCCTTTTTGTCGGCACAGAATCCGAATAAAAGAAAATCTGAACGTATTTTTGTTATAATTTTAGGTCTAAATTCACATAGTTTTGTGAAAAAAGTCTGTTTAGGTGAATTGATACTTGGGAGCTGATTTCATCAACCGTCCCTGAGCGTGTGAAGCTAACCCAAAGCACTGCTCTGTCTGAAGCTTTGTTAGACTTCAATCTCAGTTTTGCTTTAACATGGTCTGACTTAATGTGAGCTTTGTGTTAATGTTTTTATTGTATATTTTAACCTTTTCAGAGCGATCTGTCATTTCCAAGCCTCTCCAGCCTGCTCAGTGCGTCATCAAACCAACTGTTTCGTGAGTAAAAATATGCTTTTTCTGGTGGAGGGTGCGCTACCTACTTGTCATATGGATGTCATTTTTCTTCCTGGAATGTTCCAAAAAAGTAAAGTATGGTATTAAAATTCTTTCAGTTTTTCAATCTATTCTTATTGTAAAAACTTATCTTATCACCTGATTGTCTGTATGACGATGGATAGAACTGTAGTACTGTGGAACATTCCAGATAAAATCTCCATGGAGACAATCACTGGGTTAGGGTTAGGACTGTCATCCAGAGAAGTCGCATCGTGTATCTTTAAAGCTGCCCTGTGTAACTTTTCTGGTAGAGGGTCCACCACATGCTTGTTTCCATGGAGATATTATTGTTTTGCCTGAAAGGTGCCTCACTATGGCATTAAACACATCTGTGTTGCATATATTAAATGACAAGTGTTTTAGTGCTGTAACTGTAACTTGGGCTGGTGGCATTGTGGGCTTGTCTCTATGGAAATAGATAAGTTTAATGCAGTACAGTGGGACATTCTAGACAAAGCAATAGCATTTACATGAAGACAAGCAGGTGCGGACCCTCTACTACTTGTAAAGGTCCAATGTTACACAAAACTGAATAATGTGAGCTTTAAGGCCCTGTCCACACTAGTACGTATTTGAGTTGTTTTTGTTGTGGATGCAGGTGTGCTTGTGATGAAGAAACAACATTATAACATAGATCAGAAATAGCGTAATATTGGCCATTTAAGCTTTCAGGCATATTGTCATTTATTTATTTATGTTATTTATTACATTTTTTTGTACTTGCAGAAACAGAAACTTTACAAGTGCCGAGTCTTCCTGCGCCAAACATGAATCAGCCAAAGGTAAGAAATTAGAACTATTTTCTCGCAACCAAAACATGTAAAACATTTTTAAAAATTACAAAATTCTTTCTTCCTCCTTCCTAATTTTCTTTTTATATAAGCTTAAAGAGATCTCTGGGCCTCAACCAAAAGCAACCACTGAAGCACCTGTCCAAAGACCATGTGAGAAATTTTCAATCATAGTTAATATTATTGCTTTAAATTGACAATATGTACAGTAACTTTTCATGTAGAGGGTCTGCCATCTGCTTGTCTCCAAGGAGATGGTGCCTGGAATGTTCCACAGTATAGCATTCAGCTTTAAGGGTTGTCAAAAGTCTGTTGTGTGTATATGTGTGTTGCGGAACTTTCCAGGTATAGCAAGAACATCTCCATGGATACAAGCAGGTTAGAAATGTTCCACAGTATGCCATTAAACAGCTCTACTTTACTTGTATTCAGTTACATGTGGTTTTAAAGATCAAAAATACCTAGAAAAACAGGCATTCTAACTGTGAACGAGGTTGCCTCTCCACAGATCTGACCTCTGGTTTGGTCTCCGTGAAGATAGAAAGGTTTAATGCCATACTCTGAAACATTCCAAACAAAGCAGTAACATCTGCATGGAGAAAAGCATTTGACAGACCTTCCACCTGCAAAGTTACACAATGCACCTTTAACTGTTGGCCTTTTCCTTTTTTGTCTGTGCTTAGTCTTCGGCACAGCTCACAAACCGCTTCAGCTGGTTGAAAATGGAAGCAAAACTCGCAATGCCCTGGATTCCATGGTCGGACAACAACAGGTAAAAAACACATGAGCCATCTGGATACTTCAAGTTAAAGCTTTATAGATGTATCAAGAATCTCGGACTTCTGGTCATTGCGCAGTGCATACTGGGAAGGATTTTCTGAAAAAGTGAGCATCAAGCCGCTATGTTTGTTTTCCCAGTGGGATGTGTCTATTGACAAAGTCTTTTCTAGTCTTTTGAATCATATCACTTTTTTCTCTGGTTCTGATATTGTCATATTTTAGTTTTGGGATTCAGACATTGTAATTGTGTGGTTGTTGGATCCTAACAGCGGAAAATGGCTCGAGAAATTTGTTTGCGAACTCCATAAATGCAAAAGGGAAAAATGTTGTGGTATAATAAACATATTGGGGGGTCAGATTACTATAGCCATAAGTTTCCCCTATTAACTACTCAATTGATCAGCCCTGTCTATTTTAACAAGATTCCAAATCATTATACATCACTTTGATTTCCGAACTCATTAATAACTACTTATCTCATTTTCAGTCAAATATGTGTTTAAACAACTAAGTCATTTTTAACATTCAAAAGTTATAATCCACATAAAAAAATGCATCTGAGTTCTCCAAAAAACACTTTTACATATGTCAATATGCTTTAATTTGCAGATATAGTATTAATATTCAAGTTCTTTATTAATAAAAGATAGATTTTCATAGAGCGGTCAATATTCTATAGGGGGTCAACATACCATAATAGGATTCTGACCCTGGGGTCAAAATACTATATGGTATGTTGACCCCGGGGTCACCTCACCGCGGGGTCAAAATCCTATGCCACACTGACTAAATAGGACAGTCCTGGCACCCTTTTTGGGAAGTCAGTGGAGAAGGTTTTTTTTTTTATTTATAAATTTTTAAAATTTATTTATTTTTTTAGGATTTCTTTTTCATCAACATTCCTTAGGAGTGTGGTGCTAACTGAAAGCACGGTATTCTAATCTTTAACATAATCTGACCAGAGCTGCCAGCTTTTTGATCAGTGCACAAACACCGAGAGACATGTAGAACACCCCCAGCGTGATGTCACTGCTGAGGAAAAATACAAGACATTGATTTATTATATTATAATTATTTTTTGTAAGTTTGTCAAGTTACCAAACAGTGACTGAGGCGTCTGTATGAGCCTACTATATCATTGTCTTTTATGTTTCATGTTTTATGTTGTTTTTTTCAAATCAGACGTGGCGCTCGCAGACTGTGAACGTGGCTGATGTGGTGACGGATGGAAAAGAAAACAAGCCAAGTACGTTCTGTTACAGTTTATTTAAAGCTACACTGTGTAACTTCTCTGGTGGGGGGGTCCCCTACATTCTTGTTTTATTGCTTTACCTGAAATGATAGACACTACAGGTGATGCTGCTTAGCCAAGTTACAGGTGAGATCTGTGCAGAGGCAAGCCTGCTCACTGTGATAATGCATTTATTTTATGGTATTTTTGAAGAATAAATGCAATAGATATTTAAACCAGGACTAAATCAAGTCTACATCAGGACTAAACCAAGTCTATATCAGGACTAAACCAGGACCAAACCAGGTCTACATCAGGACTAAACCAGGACCAAAAGTGTGCACTAAGCCTTAATAAACTCTATGTTTACAGGGTTTGGAGCAGTTGCAGCACCAACCTTTACTTTTGCATCCGAGCCCTTCACAGAACACCTTTAACCAAAACAAACAGGTCACATATTATATCATGAATTATTCATAAATACTTAGGTTTGGTTTCCTCTTATCCTTATTTACTTCCTCTTTTCTCTTGACAGCCTGAATCTTTCACTGTGACATCTGGAGATTCATCAGTGGATTCTGGTAACTTTTAATCATAACTCTACATTAATTAGACTTATGGAGACAAGCAGGTTGTGGACCCAACACCAAAAAATGACTAAGTGCACCTTACCCCTGATGTACACTGACTGAAAGTGCAGTGCGGTTCAGGTCCTGTGTGGTTTTTCTGCCACTTGTATGTCCCACTGACTGCAGTCTCTGAAGTAAAGTACAAATACCTAAAATGTAACCTCTTTACATTATTAGGTTTCCCCACTGCTCAAAATCATAATCATAAATACGTTTTAAACTGGGACTAAACTCAAAACTAAACCAGGACCAAACCTGGACCAAACCAAGTCTACATTAGGACTAAACCAGGACTAAACCTGGACCAAACCAGGTCTACATCAGGACTAAACCAGGACCAAAAGTGTGCACTAAGCCTTAATAAACTCTATGTTTACAGGGTTTGGAGCAGTTCCAGCACCAACCTTTACTTCTGCATCCAGCCCTTCACAGAATATTTTTAACCAAAACAAACAGGTCACATATTATATCATGAATTATTCATAAATACTTAGGTTTGGTTTCCTCTTATCCTTATTTACTTCCTCTTTTCTCTTGACAGCCTGAATCTTTCACTGTGATGTCTAGAGGTTCATCAGTGGATTCTGGTAACTTTTTTATCATAACTACACTTTAACTGGACTTATGGACTCCACCACAAAAGTTACACAATGCATCTTTAAGTAAAGTACAAATATCTAAAATGTAAACTTTTTACATTGTTACGTTTCTCCACTGCTCAAAATCATAATCATAAATACGGCCTAAACTGGGACTAAACTCAAAACTAAACCAGGACTAGACCAGGACCAAACCAAGTCTACATCAGGACCAAATCTGGACTAAATCAGGTCTACATCAGGACTAAACCCATACCAAACCAAGTCTACATCATAACTAAACCAGGACTAAACCAAGTCTACATCATAACTAAACCAGGACTAAACCAGGTCTACATCAGGACTAAACCAGGACTAAACCAGGACCAAACCAGGTCTACATCAGGACTAAACCAGGACTAAACCAGGACCAAACCAGGTCTACATCAGGACTAAACCAGGACCAAAAGTGTGCACTAAGCCTTAATAAACTCTATGTTTACAGGGTTTGGAGCAGTTCCAGCACCAACCTTTGCTTTTGCATCCAGCCCTTCACAGAATATCTTTAACCAAAACAAACAGGTCACATATTATATCATGAATTATTCATAAATACTCAGGTTTGGTTTCCTCTTATCCTTATTTACCTCGTTTCTCTTGACAGCCTGAATCTTTCACTGTGACATCTGGAGATTCATCAGTGGATTCTGGTAACTTTTTTTTTATCATAACTACACTTTAACTGGACTTATGGACTCCACCACAAAAGTTACTCAATAAGTAAAATACAAATATCTAAAATGTAAACTTTTTACATTGTTACGTTTCACCACTGCTCAAAATCATAATCATAAGTAGGGCCTAAACTGGGACTAAACTCAAAACATCACAAGGTGGACCAGAGTGACTTTCAGACCAGGAAGCTAAACCAGGACTCTAAACATCAGTGAATAAACAAAACACAAACCAAGTCTACATCAGAACTAAACCAGGACTCACAAGAGTCCAGAGTCTACATTTAGGACTAAACCAGGACTAAACCAGTGCCCCCTTTCAATGAGTATAGTAAACCAGGACTAAACCAGGGATCTTTTTGTCAGGACTAAACCAGGACAAAAGGTGTGCACTAATGCCTTAATAAAGATGCACTGTGTAACTTGTTTACAGGGTTTGGAGCAGCTCCAGCATCAACCTTTGCTTTTGCATCCAGCTCTTCACAGAATATCTTTAACCAAACCAACCAGGTTAGTGACGCCATCTGGCCAAGATACGGGTCAGATCTGTGGAGAGGCGAGTCCCCACAAACCCCACAGAAAATAATGTCTTTGAATGTATTTTTAAGCAAGTCAAACTTCTGTAACTGAAGAAGTGCAAGATAGATCTTTTTACTGTAATACTGTGGAACATTTTCAGCACTAATATCTCCATGGAGACAAGTGGGCACCTTGAACTTCTGAAGTGGTATATTTAGCCACTGTGTTAGAGTGTTTGCCCACTGATCTGAAGGTTGGTGGTTCGAATCCAGCTCTTAATACAAGTATCGTTGGTTGAATTTTCACAGATGAATGCTGTTGTTGTGTCCTTGGGCAAGACACGTAACCCTCCTCACCCTCAGTGTCTGTGTACACTGGTGTAATATACTTGTGTGGTTCCTTAATGTAAAATAGTCTGAGTGCCCTCAAGGTGGAAAAGCATTATATAAAAATGTGTATCACTTTTTACCATTAATTTTATTTAATGTAATTATGTTTTATTATAATTTTATTCCAGTTGTTTTCTCCAATGTCTGGATCTTTCAATGCTCCAACACCTGCTCGCCCACAACATGCTACAAATGGACAGAACAGTCCCCAGTTTATTGGAAGATCTGCTGATCTCAGATGCTCCAGTGCAGGTAGAGCACAAACTGTTCTATCTTTCAAATCTATATATTTCATTATTTTGAAACATTTGTGTTTTTTTTCTGTGTATTTTTTGTCAGTTAACAATTGTGTTCCAAGTTTGGCTACTACAGAGGCTTCAGTCAATATGGAAATCAGACCAGGTAACAGTTCTCGAGCCAAAAAGCACAATTTTATGTGTGGAACTAAACCTGGACTAGACCAGAACTAAACCAGGACTAGAACAGGACCAAACCAAGTCTACAAGAGAACCAGGATCAAACCATGACCAGTGTAGAACTAAACTTGGACTAGACCAGATCTTAACCAACAGGACCAAACCAACTGAACCGGGATCAAATCAGGACCAGTGTGGAACTAAACCTAGACTAGACCAGAACAAAGCCAGGACTAGAATAGGACCAAACCAAGTCTGCAAGAGGACTGAACCAGGATCGAAACAGGACCAGTGTGGAACTAAACCTGGACGAGACCAGAACTAAACCAAGACTAGAACAGGACCAAACTGATTAAACTAGGACCAGTGAACTCAGACTTAGTCTCTCTCTCTCTCTCTTTTTTAAAATTTTTTTATTTACAGCATCTGGAGCTTCACAGAATATATTTGGTGAAAACAAACCCCAGGTAATGTTTACATTCAATAAAGTGCCTCCATTAAATCCCAGAGTGACTGACCCTGATCCAAATGTGTGATCTCAACAGTATGAACCACACAACGCTTTTACTGCAGCTTCTGGAGATTCATCTGTGTGCCAGAGTACGTTTTTTTTTTTTTTTTTTTATCATTTTATTGGGAAAAAAAAAAGAACACAGAAGAGCCCACTTAACAGATGATGTCACCTTAAAGGGCAAAAGTTACAGTATTTTCTGATCTCTGTTATTATGCTGTTACCTGGAGTTGTGTTTTGTTTCTAGACCCTGCGTATTTAGGCTGAGTTATTCTCTCAAACAGAAAACACCCCGTTCCACCTTGTGACGTCAGTGAGTGGTGTCTCCAAATACATGCATCACGGATTTCAGACTTCCGGTCATGCATACTGGGAAGGATTTGCAATGCATACTGGGAAGGATTTTCTGAAAAAGTGAGCATGTTTTCCCAGTGGGATGCGTCTATTGACAAAGTCTTTTCTAGTCTTTTAAACCATATTGCTTTTGTTCCTGGTTCTGATATTGTCATATTTTAGTTTTGGGATTCGGACATTGTAATTGTGTGGTTGTCGGATGTCCGAACACCAGAAAACGGCTCGAGAAATTTGCTTTGGAAGTTTACGAACTTCATAAATGTAAAAGGGAATCAGATCTGTGTGAATCTATGTGAAACCTCTGTTCCACAGGAAGGACGACAAAGGAAAACTTTGACTATCTAAATCATCCCGAGTTTGCAGTAAACATTTTGTATGTGGAGCGCCATCAAAGCTGGATCCCGTTTGTTAAGCGAGAGGTGCAGAACAGGCTGAGCTCACACTTTCTTGTTCTTGTGGTTTTACAGCAACATCAACATCTTGGTCGCTTTGCAGTGGAAGGTGTTTTTTGGCAAACAGCTTTCACTTTGGCATTGACTTGTTAAATTCGTAACCAAGGTTGAGCGCTCCACATACAAAATGTTTGCTCCAAACTCGGGATGATTTAGGCAGTCAAAGGTTTCCTTTTTTGTCCTTCCTATGGATCAATCCTGCCCATCGCCTTCACCTTTCACTATTTTTCAATTCCGTTGGGAAGAGAAACAGTTTGAACAGAGGTTTGCAGTCACACACATCTGATTCCCTTTTGCATTTATGGAGTTTGCAAACTTTCCGAAGCCCATTTCTTGAGTCGTTTTCCGCTGTTAGGACATCCACTAACCACACAATTACGATGTCCGAATCCCAAAAATAAAATATGATGATATCAGAACCAGAAACAAAAGTGATATGGTTCAAAAGACTTGAAAAGACTTTGTCAATAGACACATCCCACTGGGAAAACAAACATGGCGGTTTGATGCTCACTTTTCGCACTTTTTGCAATGACCGGAAGTCTGAAATTCGTGATGCATGTATTCTCCCAAATTGGTGAGGTTATGCATTTTCACTAAAATCGGAAATTTTATAGACCTGGAATTGTCAAACTTAGAAACAGCTTTTGTTTTGGCATTGTTGAAACTCCCATTAGAATATACTGTATTATAGACTTTCTGTGGTCCTCTCAACTGGACAAGAGAAACAATGTACAGTTATTCTATATAATGAGTCTATCTGTTCAGTTGAGGCTATTATACAACTGCTAACTTTAAAACTACCAGTTGATGACATCACAAGGTGGAATGGAGCATTTTATTTATTTATTTTTTATGTAGGCAGATTTATAATCCAGGATTCCTTAAACATGTGTGAATGTAATAAAACCCAACTTTAGGTATGTTTGTGATGAGGGAACAACATTCCCACAGTTATATGGAAAAAATAAAGTCATTATAATTAAAAACAATAAAATTAAATTAAATAAATCAATCTTTTTTGTGTAGATTTTCCACAGATGCAGCAGCAATTTGGGTTTCCTCAAGCACAGCTGCCATTGCCCTCTACTAGTACACAAGAGGTAATGTTAGATAATAATTTACAGTTAAAGCCAGGACATAAATATTTCAACTTTTGACTCTTTTGTGACAGGTGATGTTCCAGTCCCCCTTCTCGTCTCAGCCAGACCCCAAAACATCTGGAGCTGCAGTGAAAGAAAACCAAAACACAGGTACAAAACAGATATTTATGCTCGGGTATGAAGAGTTTACATATGAAGTAGGGATGGGCATTTGATTAAATAATTGATTATTGATTAATCATTAACGTTTTTATATTAAAATGATCATCATTATTATTACTATCTGCACTACTAATCTGCATAAACAAATTCAACTTTACGACATATAAACTGTAACCACTCTAGAGCCACATCAGCCCGTTTGACATTATAATGTGTTTAATGTAGTTTTGCGCAAGTCTCACAGAAACAAAACTTAAAACCACATGGCTAATTTGCATAAACTAAGCGAAGAAAAAAAAAACAGCTCTTGTGCGCTGATGTGGTCAACTTCTGTCGGATTAAAAGACATGACTCAGTGCAATACAGGTTAGTGTGACCAGATTTGCGTTTGTTAAAACCAGGACACCGTACGGGGGGAGGGAGGTGGGGACTCGTCATCGACATTGTGCTACTTTCACCTGGCAAAGCTTTTTCCCACTGGACACCGAAACATATGTGCTGCTTTGTACACTGTGCACATGGACTCACACTTGTCCCGACCAGAATGGAAAGCGTGAAATTTCTTGTACAAGTCATCGTTAAGTACACATTTGCGGTTCGACACGTTGCAGGCTGACAGACTGTTTGTGTTTGCTCACTCCTTCTGAGTGCAGAGAACTACATGTACGAACCCCTGTTTGTCCCCGGACATGGACGTTTGGTCACCCTGCGCTACGCACAGCAACCTACATTCGGTTTGTCGATTAAAATGAACGTAATCGATGAAATGCTTAATGATCAATTAGCAATTAATCGACTAATCATGCCCATCTCTAATATGAAGTAAAAATGTTCAAATCAAACAGAGTTCTTACTGCTCTTACTGCTCACTAGGGCTGTCATGAGTATCAAAAATCAGATCCTAATTGATACTAAAACTACAATTGAAACTAAGGCTACGTTTATATGATGACGGTCTGAACAGAACACACAAAAGTGGCATCGCTTCTTTAGTTTTTATTCCGCTTTTAGATGAGCGTTTTCGAGAGGAAATCTGCGTGTATACGGTGACGCAAATGTGTGTGGAATTCGATTGGGTATGCATGCCAGGCGGCTCGGTGGTGACGCTAGGTGGTGATGTATGTGACGTAAACGCGTACGCGACGTGAGCAGATCTGACCAGATTTTAACGACTTGGGCAGTGTAGACAGAAACACTACGGCGGAGCTTCTTCAACTTTTCCACTCTGGAGGATGTGTTTTTTTGTGTTTTTAAGCCCCAAAAATACTGTCTAAACGAAAGGCTCTTCTGATAAAATATTTAATTGTTTTTATTCGTAGATGTTCTCATGTAAACTTGGAACCCACAGAGATACAGAAAAAATAAAGTCATTATAATAAAAAAAGAGAATTAAAAAAATAATTTCTTTGGTGCAGGTTTTCCACAGCTGCAGCAGAACTATGAGTTTCCCCAAACGCAGCGGCCACTGCCCTTTACAAGTACACAACAGGTAATGTTACATAATTATTTACAGATAAAGCCATGATATAATTGACTTTTATTTAAACTTATGACTCTTTTTGGACAGGCGATGTTCCAGACCCCCTCCTCATCCCAGCCAGGCCCAAAAACATTTGGAGCTGCAGTGAAAGAAAACCAGAATATAGGTACAAAAGCAGATATTAATGCTCAGTTATGAAGAGTTCAAATCATGTTCAAATCAAACAGAGCTTTTACTGCGCTTACTGCTCACTAGGGCTGTCACAAGTATTGAAAATCAGATCCTAATCGATACTAAAACTAGAATCAAAACTAGATACTCACTTGAGCAAGTATCGACACTAAAAAAGTCACATTGAGAGGACAGAAATGAAGCTTTCCTAAATAGCTTTAGTTAGAATGATGTTGAGAATCGGTATTGATCTAGATCTGAACATAGTGTAATATCTATCTCTCCTCTACAGTGACTCCGCCTGCTGCCAATACCACCGGAGCCGCTCAGGTATCACAGCAATGTACAAATAGAACTTATTCAAATCATAACTGAAAATTCATGTTCATTTATCTATTTTTAATCTTAATTTTTTACAGAATGGCCAAAGAGAATCACACTCAGGACCTGCAAGCCCAAAAACTCCACCTCAGCATGAACCCGAGTCATGTAGGGCTATATACTGTCCTGTAATTTTATATTAAAGGGCCCATATTACACAGTTTTCTCGTCTATGTTATAATGTTGTTTCCTCATCACAAACTGACCTCGGGTTGTGTTTTGTTTCATTCACACCTGTTGAACACACAAACCCTGCATACTGACGCTGAGTTCTTCTCGCAAACTAAAAACACTCAGGAAGTGCTCCACTGTAGTTTTAAACTCCACACACCTTCACTAGAATCATTTAGAAATTTGCAGACATGAAGTGGCCAATCTCTACTGAACTAAAAGCAAAAGGTAGCTGTTCATTTGAAAACTACCACTTCATGACATCACAAGTTGATGTAAAATAAAGACATGTGCAAATGAAACAAAATACAACTCCAGATATGTTTTTGAGGAGGTAACAGTATTAAAACATGATTTAAAGATCACAAGAGTCGGTTTAGCATAATACAGGACCGTTAAGAATTATATAAGTATTTGAAGTTTAATTTGAAAGTGAGTAACTTGTAACTTGTGATGGATAGACAACTGGATATCCAAATTCATACGTTCATATTTCAGTCATTTACTAATTTGAGGAGTGTGCAGCGGTCAGTATCTATCAGTTGATTTAGACCTGGTTTAGTTCTCGTTTAGGTCTGGTTTATACCTGGTTTAGACCTGGTTTAGACCTGTTTTAATTCTTGTTTAGACCTGGTTTAGACCTCTTTTAATTCTGGTTTAGACCTGGTTTAGACCTGTTTTAATTCTTGTTTAGACCTGGTTTAGACCTCTTTTAATTCTGGTTTAGACCTGGTTTAGACCTGTTTTAATTCTTGTCTAGACCTGGTTTAGACCTCTTTTAATTCTTATTTAGACCTGGTCTAGACCTAACCTAATTCATCAGCCGGTTTTACTTAGCTTTACTTCGTTTTACTTCGTAAAAAACCATCTGACCTCGCAGCGTTAGATTTCGTTCGCTCTACAGTAGGCAGGTACTTTTTATCATTTAACCAGTCTCTGCTATTTGGTCGTGATGTATGTAATGTGCTGCTAACGGGGCTAACTGGTATATTAAGCATTTCCCAAACCCCGTAGGAAGAAAAACAATAAAGTCTTTCCCCTTGATAAAATTCACCAAACATTCTCTTTGTTCTGGCTTTAAATCCTCGATCTTGGGAATCGTTGTCAACACATAATACATGACTCTTCGCTGATTGGCTGGTGCCCAAACTCGCACTTCTGGGGTTTTTGCGAACCATCTATTGTATTCCGATTTCTGACCTACTTGCTGGAGAGAAATGAAATTGAGTGAGCCAGCCTGGCTAGTTTAGACCTGGTTTAGACCTCTTTTAATTCTTGTTTAGACTTGGTTTAGACCTGGTTTAGACCTTTTTAAATTTTTGTTTAGACCTGGTTTAGACCTGGTTTAGATCTCGTTTAGACCTGGTTTACTTCTCATTTAAACCTGGTTTAGATGGATTTACACCTGGTTTAGTCTGATAGTATTTACATACATGTGTTGACAGATTTTGAGACCCCGAAGCAGAACTCTGACCAGTCTGCAGCACAACCAAACAGGATCAGGAGAGCGCTTAATTTCCATACAGGTGCAGCCCAGGTACAGTCCAAAGCAGCCATAGACAGTGTGTGTGTGTATATCATTTTACTGTTGTTTCATATTCACAAACTTTTTGAATGTTCAATTTTAGGCTCAAACGTCCTTGACAGTTCCAACCACCACCCCCCAAACTATAGTGCCCCCAGTGGAGGACCAGAAGGAGGCAGAGAAACTACAACAGGTAATTTAAATTCTTTAATGTACATAGACAGAACTTTTTATGATTGATTGAGAGAATTTATTTTATTTAGTTTTTTTAAAGAAGGCATATTGTGCGTGTGTGTCAATGGCACCTATAATGTATGGATCATTACTAATATGCTATCATTTCAACATTTAAAATTGCAATATTGCGCTAAAACAACTTAAAAAAGGAAACAAGTCCACTGATTTCCGCGTTAAAAACTGTGGTGCCCAATGGGAGCTGACGTCGCCATAAACATCATAATATCGGCCCCTCCTATGGATACACAAGAGTAGCAGATGTTTTTTATTTGTACCAAAGTGAATACATGACACTGCTGAATCCTACACGTATCACTGATTGAGAAAATAAAACTGGATAACGAAGTAAGTCCAGAACAGTGGGCGTGTTCCGATGGAGATGAAACGTCAAACTGCCGTCTTCAAAGATTAGAGAAATAAAGATGACTCAAACATGCACGAATCACTCCAAATACAACTTCAGAGGGTAAATGAGAAACAACTATAACATGGCTTAAAGCTCAGAACATTCCATTTTGCAGAATAGGTTATAATTATAATAGGTCGCTTCACGTTTTATAGTAATATTATATGTTTTGCATTGTTTAAGCTTCAACGGGACAAGATGAAAGCCGAACTGCAACAGAAGATTCGATGCAGAGACCAAAAACTGTGTGAGATCAGGGCAAGTGTCAAGGCCTGCGAGGTGAGTAGTAGTAGTAGTAATAGTAGTAGTAGTAGTAGTAGTGATAGTAGTAGTAGAAGTAGGATAAAGAGACATGTTATTCTGTGTTTTGGTGTAATAAAAACATCAGTAATGAAACTCAAAGTTGACCGATCAAACTAGCTCTAACCAGGCCATACTTGAACTTGAGTAGTAATAAATAATTCGACTCATCTACTATGAGAAAAATTACGCAATGCACCTTTAATTAATGTACAGATACCAACAATTTTACATAAAGGCGCACTGTGTAACTTTTCTGGTGGAGGCTCCATCAAATGCTTTTCTCCATGGAGATGCTATTGCTTAGTCTGGAATGTTACAGTATGAGATTAAACCTTTTTATCTTCCTGGAGACCAAGCCAGACCAAGTTACAGGTCAGATCTGTGGAGAGATGACGCCCCTCACAGTCAGAACGTCTGTTTTTCTAGGTATTTTTGAGCTATAAAACCACCTGTGATTGAATAAACGTCAAATAGAGCTCATACTGTGGAACATTCCAGGCAGAGAAATTACATAGCCAAAGAAACAAGCAGGAGACAGACCCCCAACCAAAAAGTTTGTACCTTTAAGTACCTTTTACCAAACCTGAATATTTACCCTATATTTTGTACCTTCCAGGGCAGTTTGGATGAAGAGTGGCTGGAGATTGACAATGTATTTTCAAATGTGATTCACTTGGTGGAGGAGGCCCGTCAGAGAGCTCTGCAGCCAATAGAGAAAAGGTGAGTCAAACTAAAGCCCTTCAGTAATACAGACGACTACCGTATTTTCTGCACTATAGGGCGCTCTGGATTATAAGGCGCACTGTCATTGAGTGGTCTATTTTCAAAATGTTTTCACATATAAACCTCACCGGACTATAAGGCGCAATGCATACTGGGAAGGATTTTCAGAAAAAGTGAGCATCAAACCGCCATGTTTGTTTTCCCAGTGGGATGCGTCTGTTGACAAAGCCAGTCTTTTCTAGTCTTTTGAACCATGTCGCTTTTGTTTCTGGTTCTGATATTGTCATATTTTAGTTTTGGGATTCGGACATCATAATTGTGTGGTTGTTGAATGTCCTAACACCGGAAAACGGGCTCGAGAAATTTGTTTGCGAACTTCATAACTGCAAAAGGGAATCAGATGTGTGTGACTGCAAACCTCCGTTCAAACTGTTTCCCTTCCCAATGGAATTGAAAAATACTGAAAGGTGAAAGCGATGAGCAGGATTGATCCACAGGAAGGATGAAAAAGGAAACCTTTGGCTGCCTAAATCATCCTGAGTTTGCAGTGAATATTTTGTATGTGGATCAACATCAAAGCAAAATCTCGATCCCTCGCTCCACCTTGGTTACAAATTTAAAAATGTCAACGCCAAAACAAAAGGCACCAGCTGTTCACCAAGAAACACCTTCCACTGTAAAGCGACCAAGACGTGATGTTGCTGTAAAACCACAAGAACAAGAAAGTCTGAGCTCAGTCTGTTTGTCTTCTGTACCTCTCGCTTAACAAATGGGCTCCCACTTTGATGTTGCTCCACATACAAAATGTTCGCTGCAAACTCGGGATGATTTAGGCAGTCAAAGGTTTCCTTTTTGGTCCTTCCTGTGGATCAGTACTGCCCATCACCTTCACCTTTCACTGTTTTTCAATTCCATTGGGAAGGGAAACAGAACAGAGGTTTGCAGTCACACACATCTGATTCCCTTTTGCTTTTATAGACTTCGCAAACTTCCGAAGCCCATTTCTCGAGCCGTTTTCCACTGTTAGAAGATCCAACAACCACACAATTAAAATGTCCGAATCCCAAAACTAAAATATGACAATATCAGAACCAGAAACAAAAGCGATATGGTTCAAAAGACTAGAAAAGACTGGCTTTGTCAATAGACGCATCCCACTGGGAAAACAAACATGGTGGTTTAATGCTCAATTTTTCGGAAAATCCTTTCCAGTATGAATTGCGCAATGACTGGAAGTTCGAAATTTGTGATGCATCTATTGATTGACAAGTAAAGGTTTATCTTATCTTAAAGGGCTCGTATTACCGTATTTTCTGATCTATGTTATAATGTTGTTTCCTCATCACCAACAGACCTGGAGTTGTTTAACACACAAACCCTGCTATCTTCTATCAAACTGAAAACTCTCTGTTCCACCTTGTGATGTCATGTGGTAATATAGGAAGTGGGTCCATGTACCATTCATTTGGATTTCAATTAAGAATGAAAAACAATAAAATGGGAAAATAGTTTGTTATTTCATTATTTAATTTTAGTGTCAAACAAACAAACCGTCAGTATTTTGATATTTTATTCTGTCTGGTTTATAATTGAAATGAAAAAGAACGAATGGTACACAGACCAAAGTGCTTCGCTATGTTTTTAAACTCCATACACCTTCACTAAAATCATAAGGATTATTTCAGACCTGGAATTGAAGATCTCTACTGAATAAAAGGTATCTGTTAACTTAAAAACATGACATCACAAGGTGGAACAGAGCATTTTGAGCTTTGTAGATGTAGACAGACTAATAATAAGGAGTTAGTCAAACATGTGTGAATGAAACAAAACACAACTCCAGGTCTGTTTTTGAGGAGGAAACAACATTATAACAAGTTTGCAAGAGTCTATTTCGCATAATATCTTTAACATTTTTTATGTTTTTTATACATCCTTTGTATTTTAGGAGAGAAAAACTGAAAAGAGAGTCCAAAGGTTTGATCCAGAAAATTCAGGAGGACATTGTAAAACTTGAAAATGCCATAAAGGAAGTGGACACTGCTGCAGATTTGGATGTAAGAAAGAAACTGATATCAGGTGTATTTGTGTGGAAAATGTTTGTCTAATTATTATTATTATTTTGTTTTTATCACCAGGCTGTAACGCTGTCAAAGCTAAAGATTAAAGACTTCAAAACAATAAATGTCAACACCGATTTCGCCTTCGGGACCCTTCAAACCACAATTTCCACCATGAGGGAGCAAATTCAAGAAGAAATGGACAAACTCTCTGCTTTAGGTTTGTAGATCTGCAAACGTAAAACTGTTCACTGCACACACACGCCAGCTGGGGGTGTTCTGCATGTATTTCTATGGGTAGAATGTTCAGCAGTTAGAGACTGACTCACATGTTGTAGTTTCAGTTCTTTCTGTTCAGACTGTGTTAAAACAAAACTCATATTTAAGTCTAACTTGAGCAACAGCGCTTCAGACAGAGCGGTGCTTACAGTTAGCTCACATGCACCTGTTTCAAAACTGGAACGAAACTGGGACTTAACTCGATTTAGACCAGAACTAAACCAGGACTAGAACAGGACCAAACCAAGTCTACATCAGGACTAAACCAGATCAAGATGGACTTGGGTATTTCAAAATGTCTCTACAGCTCTTCTCATTGTTTGGAATCTTGTATTTGTCGATGCAGTCACTCATTTTGTGTCTTTGTGGTTGTTGTTTTTTTTCCAGAACTTGAAAGAGCTCCAGTGTTTGCAGGTAAAGTTTGTTTGAATTATGCGAAAGAGGCAGGAGGTCCATGCAGATGAACAGAATTAGCTTTTGTTGTAGAAGCAGCTCTTTTTGTCAGAATAAGACAGCTGTGTTCCGTCTGCATGCAGTTATGAAGCAGGTTATTGTCAGCATATCCAAACGTGCGCTGTTAGCATGCTAGTTGATGTTAGGGTAATAGATGCATCACGAATTTCAGACATCCGGTCATTGCACAATTCATACTGGGAAAGATTTATCGAAAAAGTGAGCATCTAACCGCCATGTTTGTTTTCCCAATGGGATGCGTCTATTGACAAAGCCAGTCTTTTCTAGTCTTTTGAACCATATCACTTTTGTTTCTGGTTCTGATATTGACATTTTTTCGTTATGGGATTCGGACTTTCTAATTGTGTGGTTGTTGGATGTCCTAACACCGGAAATTGGCTCCAGAAATGGGCTTCGGAAAGTTTGTGAACTCCATAAATGCAAAAGGGAATCAGATCTGTGTGAACCTATGTGAAACCTCCGTTCAGACTGTTTCAATATGGTTCAAAAGACTAGAAAAGACTGGCTTTGTCAACAGACGCATCCCACTGGGAAAACAAACATGGCGGGTTGATGCTCACTTTTTTGGAAAATCCTTCCCAGTATGCATTGCACAATGACCGGAAGTCTGAAATTCGTGATGCATGTATTAGGATTTTAGGTAAGCGCAGGAAAGTAAGGAATAACTTTAGACCTTTGCAAGCACATATTATGCAAAATTGATTTTTTGGAGATTGTAACCATGTTAAGACATTGTTACGTCTTCAAAAACAGATCCAAACTGGTGTTTTGTTTCAGTCACACATGTTTAAGTAAACCCGGTTTATTAGTCTACATTTCCAAAGATTAAAATGCTCTATTCCATCTTGTATAGGGTGAGAAGATTTTCAGAATCAAAAACTAGGACACCCTTGGTTTGTGGTGGTTGGTAATAATAAAACTGTGAAACAAGTGCATACCGTAGTTAAGAAAAATTGTTCTGCCTATTCAGAACTAACGTGTCAGTATAGTCACATTTTCTTTGTGTTTTGGTGATTTTTAAGCAGCTTTTCTGTATTTTACCTAAACAAATGTCAATCTATGCCTCTCTTTACTGATGGCAGGGGTCAAATTGGTCAAAAGTAGGGACATCTAGGACATTTCTTGTATAAAACTGGGACAAATTACTGGTTTTGTATAAATCTGCTGGGACAGGGGATGCAGGACTCAAAACTGGGACTGTCCCAAGTAAACAGGGACATGGTCATTGGTCTCCCTAACCTGGGGATCATGAAGTGGTAGTTTTCAAGTTAACAGCTACATTTTACATTTTGTTCAGTAAAGATTGGCAGTTCCAGGGCTGAAATGATCCAAATGATTCTAGTGAAGATGTATTGAGTTTAAAAACACAGTAGAGCACTTTCTGAATTAGCACAGGTTGTTTTCTGGGCTGAATATGCAGGGTTTGTGTGTTAAACATGTGTCAGTGAAACAAAACAAAACTCCTGGTATGTTTTTGATGAGAAAACTACGGAAACCGAGAGGGGTCACAACAAACGCAAACACCGCAACAAATGCAAATGCGATGACAGAACAAAAAGTCACAACAAAACAAAAAAAGCCACAACACACCAATAAAAGCCACAACGGAAATGACCGCGGGACTCTATTTTAATGTAAACGCCCCAACAAATACAAAGGCCACAACACAAACGCAAATGCCGCAACACATTAAAAAGCCACAACACATTAAAAAGCCACAACGGAAGTGACCGCGGGACTCTATTTTCTGACGAACCGATCAAGCGGCAAGTGAAGAAGAAGAACTAAAACGTGAAACGAATAATGATAAAACAATAAATTACTTTTACTGATGTTTCCAACTTCTCCGTTCCTTTACTTTTCACGTTATAGTTCTTCTTCTTCACTTGCCGCTTGATCGGTCCGTCGAAAAATAGAGTCCCGCGGTCACTTCTGTTGTGGCTTTTTAATGTGTTGTGGCTTTTTAATGTGTTGTGGTTTTTTAATGTGTTGTGGCTTTTTAATGTGTTGTGGCTTTTTAATGTGTTGTTTTGTGTGCTTTTTAATGTGTTGTGGCATTTGCGTTTGTGTTGTGGCGTTTGTATTTGTTGCGGCGTTTGCATTAAAATAGAGTCCCGTGGTCATTTCCGTTTTGGCTTTTTTTGGTGTGTTGTGGCTTTTTGTGGTGTTGTCATATTTGTATTTGTTGCGGCGTTTGCGTTTGTTGTGACCCCTCTCGGCTTCCGTAGAAAACATTATAACAGATCAGATCAAAACGCGTTCTGTAGTGTAACAGTTCTCTGCTCTCTGTCTCAGTGGACGTGAAGCTGGACCACAGCTCTGCGCACCAATGGCTCGCGGTGTCCAAAGACGGAAAGATGGTCCAAGACGGCGGACAGTGTCAACCGCACCTCCCGGTCAGCAGGGGGCGGTTTGAATTGTACGAGAGCATCGTAGGGGCCAGTCCCGTCAGGTCGGGGAGGGCCTACTGGGAGGTGCAGGTGGGGGCCAAGAGCGGATGGGACCTGGGCGTAGCGTCGGTCAAAGCGAACCGCAAAGGCAAGCTGACACTGAGCCCAGACGGCGGGTACTGGGTTCTAGTTCACTTCGAGGGGGATAAGTATGCGGCCCTGACAGCGCCCCCTTTCAGTGTGGAGCTGAAAAACAAGCCTCAGAAGGTGGGGGTGTTTTTAGACTATGAGGAAGGGCTGGTGTCTTTTTACGATGTCACAAATCAAACTCATATTTACTCCTTCACCAACTGCAGCTTTGATGACGGGATGTTACCGTATTTCAGCCCACATCTGAAACTAAACGGCCAAAACGCAGAGCCCCTCGTCATTACCGAAGTGAAATAAAGTCATCGCAACGGTGATTTAAAAGTGTTCTGAGTAACTTTTCTGGTGGTTTCTCGTCTCCACGCGTGTAGGTGCTTTGCCTGGAAAGTTCCGCACTATAACATTAAACTTTTTCCTTGACCAGCCAGTTCCACGGACATGAATCTGACAATAGAGCGTAAAAAACCTCGGTCCAAACTTGAGTCGATACAACCGCAGCTGCTAATTTGTCACGTGTGTCTCTCGAATGCGGAACACACCTCTTAAAAATCTCGCAATATCCAGAGCATAATATATAACTTGTTTTACCTGAGATAAATAATACTTTTGATTGTTGATTCTGTAAAAATCTGCGCTGTTTTTTATGCAAATGAATCATGCTTCTGTCTGATTGGTTAATCCGCCTGTCAATCACGTTCTCTGAAATTAGGGAGACAGGACCCAGCTCCAGATCCACTCACCTTTGTAAAGTTTTGTCAAAGCATGTCTTTTTACTGTGAGCAGGGTCACCTCTCCACAGATTTGGCCTGTAACTTGGCCAGATCGCATCACTTGTTATTCTCCATGCTGGAAAATATTTAATGTCATACTATGGAACCTTCTAGGCCAAGGGAAAACATCTCTATGGAGACAAGCACATGCAAACCTTTAACTAAATTTACCAGAGAAACATTTTTAAAAGAATTGCACTTGTTTTTTAACTTTACAGCATTATGTTGAAGTTACATTCTTTAATTTATTATGTTTTTGGTTCATCTTAAATAAGTTCATGATAAAAGCTTTCTGTTGACAATCTGTGGGGTCGGTAAAAATAATGATCCTACATTTTACCTTCATATGACTTTTAAAAATGTTTAATGATCAGTCCTTTGTTGTATTTAATTAAATGCCAAATACTTTTACTCAACATGAATCATAATACGGTTAACAGTGCTATCTATAATTATTTTACTTTGCTTTCATATGCCTTCAATTCTTGATGTTTGATATCGATATAGCTACACTTTTTGTGAGAACTGTTTAAATGATACAGTTTATATGACAAAATATCTGAAATAATACAACATATATAAGGTGATATTGTAACATGCCTTCAATTGTTCTTGTAAAATAAACCAATAAAAAAGATTTGTCTGTCTTTATTTTATTTCATTTATTTCATTTATTATTTTGACAGTTTCTGCCATAGGGTTACCGATGAAAAATATGCAAGTAACTTGAACTCAAGTCAGATTTGAGTCACTATTTTTAGGACTTGATAAAATGGACTATTGGACTTGAAGGTCAGTGACATGAGAAGCACTTTTAAATCTGAATTCTTTCTATTCTGACCGTAATGATTCACACTAAGAACTTGTCAAGACATTTAAAAAGGAAAAAATTACATTTCTACATCTCTTACATATGCCATAAATACTCATATATATATATATATATATATATATATATATATATATATATATATATATATATATATATATATATATATATCTTTGACTTTATGAGTACAATTTATCTTAAAAGTCATAAATTGCAAAAATCTAAGCTCTATTTCATACTTTGGTTTAAAGACTTGAAATGACTTGAAGCTGACGACTTGGACTTGACTTAGGCTTATGGGCCAGTGACTTGAGACTCGACTTAGACTTGCCTGTATTTGACTTTGGACTTGACTCGGACTTGAGGCCAAATGCTTGAGACTTACTTGAGACTTGCAAAACAACGACTTGGTCCCAGCTCTGGTTAGTACTACAACTACTATTACTACTATTTTTAACTAACCTTACATTTAGCATAGATGCAAACATCAATCAATGAACAATACAATAACCTGTTACAGTTACACACTCTCTTCCACCTTTTGATGTCATCTGGTAATACAGTGTTTTGAGTGTGTTTTGAGCTTTGGAGATATAGAGTGACTAATAATAATAAAGGGTTACTCAAACATGTGTGAATGAAACAAAACAAAAGAAGGTATTAACGTTATAACATGGCTTAAAGCTCACAAGAGTCCATTTTGACACTTTTACACTTTTTATTAAATTGAAGTTTACATGATCACATTAAAGATTTCACTAATAATCTTGCTTTCTTTATTTCAGCAATTTTGGTGAAGTTTACAATCTTCCCGGTTGGACACAGGCAGCACAATTAAATCTATAGATCCTTTAAAATCCTACGTCATCAGAATGTTCAAAATTGTGGGATGGAGGCGACTGAAGGCGAAGTGAAACAGACAGAATATATTTTCAGTGATTAACTGCAGAACAGATCTAAATGCTAATGGATTTAAGACTTAAAATAAACAAATTTTGAGTTACAATTTACTAACCTCAAAACTGTACTGAAGTCTCACAAAAAGTATAATTTATGATGAAACGTAATGTATATGTAGATGAAGTAAAAAAACTGTAGTGGATTCAATATTTCTGTAAAACCTCAAAATCTGGACTTTACCTTAGCCAAAAATGCTTAGTGTCTAACATAATCTCTTCTTACATTAACAGAGAATGCCTAACACAATTGTAAATGTGTTTAAACCAGGCTCTGATATCACTCACATCTATCAGAGTGGTTTTCATTTGCCAAATTTCCTTTGTATTTTCATATTTGATCATATTCTGTGATTAATCCTGGTCTCCCCATTGGAATCACTTTATGTCCCAAGTCACTTTTGCCTCCAGTTGCATCTATTCTGGTATTTAGAATGTTTTTGTTTACGTATTGTTAAAGGGTCTGTATGGTTACACTTGAATTTTGTCAAATGAGGTTTTAAATGGTTTGAAAATTGTGTTTCTTCTGCGTAAATTGTCTCTGTTGGATGGAATTTTGTGTATAGAGGCTTTGCACCGTCACGTGACCCCTATATCAACGGTTCCTAAGGCGCCATGACACCGGGCACACTATGCCATTGACTTCAGCAGCATCGGAGAAACATGGGCAGGTTTTGTTGTGTATTTGGTTGTTCTAGACGCTCTGAATGGGATAAAACGATTTGTTTCTTCAGTGTTCCTCTGGAAATGACTCATCAGGAGCTCAAACAAGGGAATTATCGAAAAAAAAGATGGGAATTATGGCTAGAGAACATAAACCGTGAAGAGATTTCCTCTGGTACCATCAAGACACACTCACGTCACTTTCACCAAGGTATTTGCTATTTAAATTGTTTCATAGTTTATTTAATGAGAGAAGCACATTTACTGAACTCAAATATAAAAAGAAAACATTTGCAGTGTGAGTGGCAGTAGAAACTGTATCTTCCAGCACATATAAACATGTCACTCGTCGTAGGACCCATGTTTTCTTTATCGTCTTGCTTATCCACAACTATGTCTTTTAGAATTAATCACTTTTTGCAAGTGGATCTTTCTAACATTCGTGAGGATCTTTTCATGGTCGATTCTTTCGAGGTTCGGCTCACAGACTCTTCGACTCGTGCGCCATGTTGATCATAGGAGCCCAGTGTGGGTTCGTTGAATCGTAAACTAGTGCAGGTTTTTCTGGATAAAAGTTTCTACTGCCACTCACACTGCAAATGTTTTCTTTTTACATTTTAGTTCAGTAAATGTGTTTCTTTCATTAAATAAGCTATGAAACAATTTAAATAGCAAATACCTTGATGAAACTTCGGGTGTCTTGATGGTAACATAGGAAATCTCTTCGTGGTTTATTTTTGATAGCCATAGCCTTTTTTTCGATAATTCTCTTGTTTGAGCTCCCTCATGAGTAATTTCCAGAGGAACAGTGAAGAAACGAATCGTTTTATCCCGTTCAGAGCGTCTAGAACAACCAAATACACAACAAAACCTGCTCATGTTTCTCCGATGCTGCTGAAGTCAATGGCATAGTGTGCCCGATGTCATGGCAGCGTAGGAACCGTTGTTATAGGGGTCACGTGACGGTGCAAAGCCTCTATAGGGATTTGTTTTAGAACTCAGTGAAACTTTATCTATTTATATCTATATCTCTTTCTTCTATCCAAACTAACATGGCAAAAACTATCTATCCAAGTTAAGATGACTTGAATTAAGAAAGTTGTGTCATGATTTGAATAAATTTCACTTGACATGTAACATTATCTACCAGTGGAACAAGACTTTTTGAACGTAAAATATCAAACTATATCTTGATACACTTAAAATAAGAAACAATCAAATGTTGCTTGAATTAAGAAAAATGCTTATTCCAATGGTAGATCATTTTACTTCAAGTTGAATCTACACAAATAAAGTAAAATGTTCTTAAGTCATTACTTGCCGAGATATGATTTTTTGCAGTGATGTAATAATTAGAAAAAACATGAAAACCTGTCATGTGAATTCAGTCTTTATTAAGAACACGCAACATCCGGTGCATAGTATTAAAAAGAAAATAGTAAGAAAAAAAGTTAAATACAGTGCATGTTATAATGTTTACAGACAAGAGCGCCAGTGTCTCCACAGTTTAGAAGTGAATCTGACAGAGCTCCTCACAGGACACACTAGAGCTTCAATGATTTGATTACTCAGATTCATGGCTCTACACATAAATGAATAAATAAAACATCTGACTGTGACAGCACAGGGTCTCACACCACAATTTACAAACATTTCACTTTTGCTACAGAACCTCAGCACTTTCAGTAATATTCTCAAAGGTGGGGGTGCCCATTATTTAGGACACACAATAGTACTTTTTAACAGATAAGGTTTCAATGTTTAAGCTTCAACTCAATGTGTAACTTCATTAACCAATATTCAGACCACCACTTGATACAGCCTTCACTATCATCTGAGAGGTCACTGGGGACATAACTTCCAAGATATTTGACCTCATCTGTGAGTTGGAGGGCACTCCCGCACAAAGAGAAGACAGGAAAGGATAGCTTTTTATCCTCTTTTGTTTAAACGATCATAATGTGACTTTTCAGAACATTGTACTTAATGTCATATTTAAAGGGACAGTTTGGAATTTTGGAAATAGGACCTCATTTCCTAGTGAGCCAGAGTACTGTAGATGTGTGGAGACACTTTTTGAAATATGCCATTCAGTCCTTGTATTTGCAGAGTTCGCTGGTGCTAGGCTAGTGCATGTCAATGGCCACTGTTATCCTGCCACTAAAAACAGTCTTACTCACTCCACAAAACACCCAAAGCAAATCTATTATTACACCAGACTGTTGATGTAAATGTCTGTGTTGATAGAATAATTTTAGAAGAAAAAACAACCTTGCATTTGAAGGATTTATGCCTGAGCAGCAGCAGTGAGTTGAACTTTCTTTTGTAAATATTTGAATTTTTTGAAATGTCTGCAGGAAAAATGAATGGAAAATTTACAAAACGGACTCTTAAGTGGACAGGACTGTTGAGCTCCATAAATCAGTGGGAGGAAAAGTGGACAGGGTGAAAAAGTTTAAACTAAAACATGCTTTTCACACATGGTTTGAAATCAGGTATAGTCCGTTAGCGCACACAGATGAAGTTGAGTGTTTCCTTGGAATTCCTCTTGACCCACTTGTTGTCTCCGTCTCTCTCCATGGCTCCAGCCACTCCACACTGACTCTCTCCTGGAACCTTCCAGTTCTCATTGGTGTCAGAGACGTAGTGACCGTTCACCCAGATCCAAGCCTCCAGAAAGCAGGTGTAGTGCAGCCCCACCCACACGGCGTCGCTGTCGGCCACCTTGGCTCTCTGCTGGGCCATGTTCTTCAGGTGAGTGTGGTCGATGAACCAGGCCAGGTCACGGTGATTTCGTCTGCAGTAGTACAGAGCCTCCTCCCAGGTTTTGTTCTCTTTCACCAGGATGAAAGGGTCTGGACAGACAACAGGCCGTGTTTCCCAGATAAAATAAACAATCACATGTAATAGAAAGACTGTAATTAAAGGGGCATTGTGGAACTTTTCTGGTGGGTCATTGGCTTGGAGATGTTATTGCTTCGTCTGGAATGTTCCACGTCTGTGTTGGATAAATCTATATCCAAGTGTTTTTATTGCTGTAAAATACTGAGTTTAGTGGCATCACCTGCTTTGTCTCCATGGAGATAAGTTTAATGCCATACTGTGGAACATTCCAGGCAAAACAATATCTTTAGGGACAAGAAGGTTCAAGACCCTCCACCAGAAAACCTCCATAGTGCACCTTTAAAATGGATGGCATAGATCACTGCCTACATCCTGTAATTCAACCTTTTTGTTTCACCTTTTCTTCACAAACTGCTGCTTGACTCACACAAAATAAAGTCATATTTAGAAAAAACATAAAACTGTCACATGCACTTTAAGTAAACTTACTGTCGTAGCAGATGAAGGGTCTGGTCTGGTTACAATAATCTCGGATAAATGTTCTCTGAGGTCCCACTTTCACACAGTTCTTGTTGTCATCGGTGAAGCTTTTATTCAAAAGTGGATCATTGATGCTCCACTTTCTGAATGAGGATTTGCTTCCATCAGACCAGACCCAGGTGTCTCTGGACAGACCGATCCACCACTGGTTGTTTCCACATGTGCAGCTTTTAGTCCCTATTTCCATTTGATTTAACTGGTCCGGTCCACTGATCAGGTCTGTGTGCTGATCTCTGCAGAAGTGCTGAGCCGCAGTCCAGTTTTTACAATCATTGTATGTTATGAATGGACCTGTATTTTTAATCAAAACAATTCAAAGATTAAAGATCAAAAGTACAGCAAATTGCTTTATTTTAGAGTTTAAAATGAAATAAAATGTGTGTGTCTTTATCATTTCTGCTGTGTTGTTTGGATTTGGTTCTGTCCTTTGATAAACAAATGAAACATCTAAATAAAGTTATGAAATTAATCTTACAAACTGTAGACATATTCAAGACTCCCCAGACACTCAGACATTAAAGGCTTTTCTTCATGCAATGTTGTTTCTTGTTTACGTTATTGGTCCCAGGCAGAGAAGACCTTAAAAAGATAAACTGAGATGCTGCATACAATTCTTCACAATGCTTCTCTTATTCCTTCTTTCAGTTAAGATCAGAGCAGATGACTAGAACATCTCACTCATGTGTAAGTTCTGATCGGACCATCCCCTTTAAAGGTTTTATAATGGCACAGTCGACTTTCTTTACACAGCAGCAAAAAACTAGAACATGCTTCAACTGCAGATTTTAAAACTTTGTCATGAAACTGTGGCTTCTGAGCAGACAGTCAACATCAGACTTCTTTAAATGTTGGAACATTCTGACTGATTGTGCTGTACATGTGGATGTGTTGTGTACATGTGTTGTGTACATGTACATGTGTTGTGTACTTGAAGAGTTGTATTTCACTCATGACATTTGTCTTGATGGTAATGTTGATGATGATTGTATTTTAGAGGATAATAATTGTGATGAATTGGACAATTGTACATTTTAGAGGATTTTGATGACAGTGAATTTGAGTATTTTTTAAAAACATTATGATGAATTTGAAACTTTGTCTTTATGAGACTGAGTCTTCATTTATTTTGATGGTTTCAAATGTTTAATGATTGTAGTTATTTAAAGGTGCACTGTGTAACTTTTCTGGTGGAGGCTCCAACGGGACCAAACCAGACCAAGTTATGCCACCTGAATAATTGAAAATAATAATTGAATAAATGTAAGGTAGAACTGTTTAACGTCACACTGTGGGACATTCCAGGCAGAGCAATGACATCTCCACAGAAACAAGCAGGTGATGGAGCCCCAACCAAAAAATGACATAGTGCACCTTTAAAGAGTCACTGTTGTTGATGTTATTAGAGGTGATTTAAAGTAAACAGGCTCTTTAATGTCTTCTGTACGTGTCCAAGGACTACAGATGAAAGGAGCTTGTGTCTAAATCTGGCACAGAGCATCTTTTCTCTCTGATGTCATTGTTTTCTGTCCACTCTCCTTGTTTCAAATCAATAAATAACATTTTTAGTCATGAACTCTGTAACTATATTTCTTACTGTTATAGCAGATAAATCTGCTCTTCGTCTCATCATAACACTTCTTTGAATCTTTGTCACAAACACACAGTTCTCTGCTCCACCAGTATCCTTTTCATCTTTTTATACTCCATTAATTAACCATTTAAAACTGAATATTATCTTTTTGGAAAAAAAAGATAATATTCAGTTAAGCCGAGTCTGGTCTGGTTAGTACTGGAAACACCAGGTGCCACAGTGAGGCGCTAGTGACAAAAACTCATTGTGTCCTTAGGCAAGACACTTCATCCACTTTGCTGCGTATGAAAATATGAAAGATGTATGTGCATGTGTTGGTGTTGGTGTGAGGGGCCCATGGTGCAGACTGGCAGCCTCACTTCTGTCAGTTTATCTACTTACACAGATAGTTTATGTAAGTTCTGCCCATATATTTTGTACTTATTATTTTGTATTCAGTCAATATATATTTTTAATGACCTTATTTTTAATGACTGCCCTTATTTCTACAGCCCAGAGCCCACTTCTTACCACTGGTGGTGTTGTAGCAGATAAAACAGCGTGGAACCTCACAGCCAGCATCGGACCACTTCTTTGAACTGTCAACATACACACAGTTCTCTAGTCCACCATAGTCATGTTGTTCATCGTCCTTCCAGGCTTCTTGTTCCTTGTTAAACTCTACTCCAGGCAGAGACCAGTGCCATTCTCTCTTGTCCTTCTCCCCAGGTGCTCTGTTGTTGAGTCCGATCCAGGCTTCAGCTCCATCTCCAGTTTTTAAGAGTGTCTTCATGTCAGTCATGCTCTCCACTGTGGCCAGGTCTGAGTAGTTTTCTCTGCAGAAGCACTGAGCGTCTTCCCACGATTTAGACTCATTTATGAAGTGGTACACGTAGTATTGAGACACCGACAAACTACACAGACCTAAAAACAAAAAAAACAAAAAAAAGATAACAGATTGAATTCCTTTGAGTATAATTCATCAAAACAGACGTCTAACCTACTGTTAGGTGTCATATTGTTTAGATCTGGTTTAGTCCTGGTTTTAGTCCTGGTTTAGTCCTGATATTAGACCTGGTTTAGTCCTGGTGTTAGTCCTGGTTTAGTCCTGAATTTAGACCTGGTTTAGTCCTGGATTTAGTCCTGGTTTAGTCCTGAATTTAGACCTGGTTTAGTCCTGGATTTAGTCCTGGTTTAGTCCTGAATTTTTAGTCCTGGTTTAGTCCTGAATTTTAGACCTGGTTTAAGTCCTGGATTTTAGTCCTGGTTTAGTCCTGATCCTGGTTTAGTCCTGGTTTTAGTCCTGGAGTCCTGGTTTAGTCCTGATTTTAGTCCTGGTTTTAGTCCTGGTTTTAGTCCTGGTTTAGTCCTGAGACCTGGTTTTAGTCCTGGTTTTTAGTCCTGGTTTAGTCCTGGTTTTAGTCCTCCTGGTTTAGTCCTGGTTTAGTCCTGACCTGGTTCCTGAGTCCTGGTTTAGTCCTGATTTTAGAGTCCTGACCTGGTTCAGTCCTGGTTTAGTCCTAGTTTAGTCCTGGACCTGGTTTAGTCCTGGTTTTAGAGGCTCACAGGAGGGAGCCTGCGAGTCCTACCTGCAGCCTGTACGAGAGAAAACAGTCCACACGCGGCGCACGGGAGGACAGCGGTGTTCGCGCAGTAACTATGGAAGGAGACGTGACGATGATGAAGGTGTGTGTTTGTGTTTGTGTGTGTTTGTGTTTGTGTGTGTTTGTGTTTGTGTTTGTGTTTGTGTTTGTGTGTGTGTTTGTGTGTGTGTTTGTGTTTGTGTTTGTGTTTGTGTGTGTGCGTGTCCTCTTGTGTGGCAGGTCACTACAGGACAGTAGTGCAGACATCATGAGCCTATGGCAGGTTGTTTTCACCAGCGCCAGTAGCTCCGGTTTGACATTTAACTTTATATATATATATATATATATATATATATATATATATATATATATATATATATATATATATATATATATATATATATATATACATATAATATATATATATATATATATATATATATATATATATATACATACATATATACAATTACTCATAATTTGTACTCTGATTACGTAACGCTGGTACATGTAATCTGTTACTCCCAACACTGTATAGGCTATACTGGCTGATATTATTGAGTTTGTGGCATTGTACACCTCTAAAATGCTATAAAATACTCGAAATTGCACCGTTTGTGTAGTTTTTTTGGCATTAAGTTTTTTAAAAATCATCGTCTTGCTCGTGTGCTCTACAGTTTTCCATCAGAGGTTTTGACAGCTGCACGGCTCTTTGTTATGATGACAGTGATGTTTGTGATGACGTTTAGTTGCTTTAGATGAATATTGTGATATAGCAGACACAAACACAATATGTTTCTTTGAGCTAGTCCCAAACCTGGACAAATGAAGAGTGCTGATGAACCAGGAAGGGCATCCAGTGTAAAGCAAATGAAACAGGCAACTCTGAGCAATGAATGAATGAACTTTGAATATGGAAAGAGAACGCACTTTAAGAGTATAATGATTTTCATATTCAGCTTCTGCAGAACATAAGCTGTTTACCGTAATTTCCGGACTATAAGCCACTACTTTTGTTTCACACTCTGGGCCCTGCTTTTGTCCCAACTGCTGGTGGCTTTGGTTTGTCCGGTTTGTGTCTGCATCTCTGACAGATGTAGCTAAAAAGATTGAAGGACATTAAAGCTCCAAAAATACGTTCCTGTGTCTGTTTCTACTCTCTAATTGGAGTAATGTTCTGGAAGAAGTGTCCCAGTACACAAGTGCAGTCCTCCTAGAAATCTCCAATAAATACAGTAGATAATAATAAATAATAATAAAGAACAATAAAGAGCAATGAAGTCAAAGTGACTTAAATTAAGAACATTTGACTTTATTTGACTAGATTCAATTTGACAAAAATGATCTGATGTGTTTTTCTGATTTCAAGCATTATTAGATTTTCTTATTTTAAATGCAAAGAGTTGTGTTTTTCTTATCTTAAAGCGGCACTGTGTCACTTTTTGGTTGGGGTCCGTCACCTGCTTGTTTCTATGGAAATGTCATTGCTCGACTTAAAATGTTCCACTGTGTGACATGAAACAGCTCTACCTCACATTTGTTCAAATACACGTGGTTTTATAGCTCAAAAAGAAAAGAAAAAACAGGCATTCTGACTGTGAGTGGCGTCGCCTCTCCACAGATCTGAAAAAATGAATACACACCCAGATAATTTGTATCTATGTTTTTTGGCTTTTTTTTTATGTAGAGCTGGTTGTCACCTCTGTTGAAGTGAAAAGTCAGTTATTACACTCGAGGCTTATATAATGGATCCTTTAGTACCTTAAGAAATACTTCGCTGAGTACAAATAGTTTTCACTTCAGAAGTGTTTACAAAAAAAGTATTAGCTACTGGTTGAATTAATCATGAACTCAGGGTGGAATTCAGATTTTTCTTAATCATTATCACATGACAAAATAATGTGAATATTCCATAATGATTACTCTGGAATTAGGCCAGTCTTAAGAAATACTTAATAAAGCATAATTAGTCTTAACTAATTAGAAAAGCTCTCAAAAAGACTGAACTTACAGATATATGCCTGAATTATCACTGGATTGTAGCATCATTCTCTCATAACACTAATGATGAAAAAATGCTCAAATGTGTATTTAAATATGTGTTTACAAATACACACACAAATGGTTGGTTCATGAGTAACTAAGTATGAAATAATTATCAATAACTATTTACAGCACAGGCTAATTAAGTGCAAGTTAAGTGTTAATTAAAGTAGTAATTAGGTAGTTATTAAGCCTTAATGACTCTGAGTGAATGACTAATTAAGTATTTGTTCATTATGAATTAAGTCTTTGTTCATGCTTTATTAAGGCTAAATAAGGTGTAGTTATTAAGTGTTACTGTTGTTATCTATTAAAATATAACTTTGTTCTAAATAATAGGTGACCAGTAAGTTTCTTCATTTCACACGTGTCACTGAAATAAACAAATCTGAGAGTAGCAGGGACCAGACTGTTCTCCCTCTTTATTAAAAACACAGGTATCAGTCTGCACCTGCCACAAAACCAAGTGAAACTATTTTACCAATATAAAACAACTTTTTGTAGGCTTATATTGGTAAATAAATGTAGTTAATAAGATTAAGTGAGATTCAGGAGCAGGACCAGGCCTCAGCCGCCCTCTCCTCTCACCAGCGAACCACAACTCACCTCGACCACGCCTCGAATTTCCCAGAAGCCTGTATGTAGCAGCCTTTCCCATCATCCCAGTGTCTCGGCTAACTCGACCCCACCCTCCCATCCCCTATTTTGTCTTTCAGTCATAAGACCCGTACAAGGGGGGTCCCGTTCGGGCTGGGCCAATTGTAGATTGAGACGGAGCCTCCACCCATAGTCTCAACCCAGCCATCTCTGCCTCGCTTTGTACATTATCAATAAACTTCTTCGCACTGTGCCGTTGTTGATGTGGTCCTAGCTAGTGAATTGTACTTTAAAGCCCTTTACCATTCTGAGGGCCCATGCACTTTTCTCTTATTCATTAATAATAGTTTGTCCACCTTCTGATAAAAGGGAATTACTGTTATGTAAAACATTAAAGGAAATCTGTAACCCACTTATTTTCAGTCAAATCAACCATTCTGAGGAGAATCTGGACCAGTTTGTACTCCAAACCCACAAATACAAAAATAACCCCAAAATACACACACATTTTGATATGAATTCCGTCTGGACTCTTTTTGCCTAATCACAAGTCTCTAAATCTCATGTGTTAGAGAGATCTGCTTCAGCTTTGACAAATGCTCAGTCTACTGTCTCTCAGGCCACTCCCAGGGCACCGACTAGACCTTTTCTTAATTTACTCCAAAAGATTCAGGCAGAAACCTGACTTTCCTCTGTGTAATCAGACTCTTAAAATGAGAGTGGAACAGACAGCAGAGGTCAAACAAAGCCTCAGCATCACAGACTTCACACTTTTGTTTATGCTCCAAAGAAAAATAGAAAAAGAAAATCAAATTAAGATAATACATTCTTAATTTAAATCATCTTAACTTGCATAGTATTTTACGCAGGAGCAAGTTAACTCCACAACACCATAAAAGATACTCAGGATTATCTGATTGTAAGTATGTCACCTTTTTAAATTGATACAAAGCAAATCATTAAGTATATTAAGTAACACCAAAGACAGTGTCAAAAGCATTACAAAAAAATTAAATAAAATGAGTTGGATAATAATAGGAAATACTCACTGAGCAAACCAATCAGTATCAGAATCATCTTGGGTCCAGTTTGCTGCTGTGGAGTACAGTCAGACTACAGAAAAAAGAACAAAATAATGATAATTAGTGAAAATTCAATCAATCGGACATATTTCAGAAACTATCTGGGTGACGGAAGGATTACACAGACCATTATTTAAAGCAAATCTATTTAGCAAAATCGACTTTTCAGGGCTTTCCATTCACCATTTACTCACCCAAAGTTGTATTTGGAGAGATTGGTGCACGTTTGAGCAATCTTTAAATGCTTATTTTCAAGACGCCATTTCACTACTCTCTACTTACTTTGTTCTCCAATATAATTTTCTTTATCTGTGGTAGGCTACGTGTAGGATTGGGCAGTGTTGCGTAGTTATTTTGGTATACATGAAAAAAAAAAAAATCTGCTACAGTGTCTATCAGAGGATTAACACGGCTCTTTGTTGTGTCGGCTCCTACTGGGCAGCTTCTTTCTTGCATTAAGTTCTTTTTAGATCAATATTGCGATTTAAAATGTACAAATTAAAACATAATAATCCACGAGCGTCATAGATTGTAACTATATAGCTGACACAAGCACAGTAGGTCTTCTTTAAACTTTAAAAACACGTCTCACCTCCTGCAGTAGTTGATTGCTTGTTGTTGAGTTGCTCCCCTCTTGCGCTCTGCTGCTCTGCGCTCTTCTACAGTAGATATTCTAAGTTAGTTTGAATTTAAATATGAAAATGTGTTTAACCCAGAAGTGAACTGAAGCATAATGCCAAATGTGTTTCTGTCTTCACTCTTATCTGGTTTATTGTTGTTCTTAATTTGCCTTTGGTGTCATTCCATCCAAACCTTGGACATTGATTGATAGCCATGCAAATATTTCCTACTGGACTATGTGCCCACCTTTGTAACTAACATCTAATAAACAATTATTTTTCCAGTTATGGCTTGGTGGGGAAATACCTGTGGTAAACATACTCATTTCATCTCGAAAAATTTGAATATGATGAAAAAAATTAATATATATATATTTCTGCTAATTTTAGAAGTGAAACCGACATATTATATAGCTTTAATTTTTTATGTTTTTTTATTTGGATGATTATGGCTTGCACATAATGAAAACCCAAAATTCAGTGTCTCTAAAAATTTGAATATTGTGAAAAAGTTCAATATGGCGTCATACCTCAATCAGCTTAAAACACCTTCAAATGTTTCCTGAGTCTGTAAATGCTCTCTCTGTCTGGATCAGTGGGCTACACAGACATGAGGAAGGCTGCTGACTGGACATCCACAAAAGGCCATAGCTACAGGAGCTGCTTGTTCACAGAGCGCTGTATCCAAGCATATTCATAGAAACGGAGATGGAAGAAAACATGTTGTAGGGGCCTCTTCTCAGACACAGATGTGAGTGAGTCTGGCGTCCTTCTTCATGAGGCTTCCTTCCCAGCAGACCACAGCTTTGAAGATGACACTGTAGATGACTGTCTGGTAGAACCAACCAGAATCAGCACTAGCTCCTGGTAAATGTTAAAGAACTTCAGCCTTCTAAGAAAGTACAGTCTGCTCTGTCCCTTTCTGTAGAAAAGGTCTGTATTCTCAGACCAGTCCAGTCTGTATTCGAGCTGTAGAGAGGCTGTAGAGTTATAATTAGTCTTGGTTAAATCCTGGTTTAGACCTGGTTTAGTCCTGGTTTAGTCCTGGTTTTTGTTCTAATTTAGTTCTGGTTTGTCCTGGTTTCAGTTCTGGGTTCGAGGCACGGTCCACACGGCGCACGGTAGGAGATGCGATCTGCGCAACATATGGGAGGGGGGAGGTTAGTGCTTTCGCGGCCTGGTACCAGTTCATCACATCTTTGTTAAACAAGCAAACAATATGGCCTGTACCAGAAAATGACTGTTAGCGAAGCTTTTACTCTCGCTATTTCCTGTTCCTGAAGAAAGGCCCATGTGTTTTAAACCAACACTTTTGGATATTCAAGTTCAGAATGCTGACCTAAATGTGCTCTGTCGCTCAATACGTATTTTAGATACGTATTTTAATATTCCTGTGCACCCAGCACACAGGAAATTTCTCTGTTTTGCTCACAGGAGGAAGGTGTACACGTACCAGGTCATTCCCTTCGGCTGTTGCTGGCACTGAGAATGTTCAGCAAATATAAAGGCAGCCCTGGCTCCGCTACGAGCTGTGAGAGGTTTCAGTATAAACTATGCCAAGAGCCGGCTAAAACCCAAACAACACACAGAATATCTGGGGTTGGGCATAAACTCCATTTCACATGGTGTGAACTCTCTCTCTCTCGCCCGGTGCCTCACACTGTTTCATCAGAGCGTGACTGTCACATTCATGACATGCCTTCACCTTGCTGGTCTCATTCATTTCTGTCCTCCATTTGGGTTTACTAATGAGAGATTTCCAGCGTTGGCTCACAGTGCTACATTTGTGTCCCAGACGCAAAGTGAAGGTGGATTCATGCTGCGTTATGGCGTTCTGCGCAGGGTCTCGCTGGGTATAGTGTCATCAAGAGTGACCATGAGAATGGACGCCTCCTTGTCAGGGTGGGGGTCACCCTGTCCGACAGGACAGTGAACTGTATTTGGGCCCCATATTTGGCCCAAATGCACATCAATGTGCTGGAACTCTGGGCTGTGTTTCTTGCCCTGAAACACTTCCTACGTTTTCTCCAGGGTCAACACGTACTGGTGAAAACAGACAATGCGACTGTGGTCATGTACATGAGTCGCCAGGGGGACACCCACTCACTACGGCTGTACAGTTTGGTGCAGATGATAATTATGTGGAGCAGCACCAGGCTCCCATCTCTCTGAGCGACACATGTTCCAGGTGTCCTCAACAGAGGGGCCCACCTGTGGCCTCTCTGTGCTGCTCCACCACCTGTGGGTTCTACAACAAACAGACACTGTAAATAGTGTGTTAGTTTCAGAGTAGTTTCAGTGTATTTAGCTCCCCCTTCTGTCGGTTATAAGGCAGTGTCCACCAGCATCTGTCCAGAACATAAGAAGCAGCTTGGATGAGCTGTGAAAGGTTTTCATAGCTGTTTTTATTTGCATATTTGTATTTGCTCAAACTATGAACGTTTAAAAAATAAAGCTTCACCCTTCTGACAGTATTAAACCATAATAAAAAATACTTTTACTTTTCAGTCCAGTTCAAAAACGTAGTGGAGTAGAAAGAACAGATAACTGCTCTTGAATGTAATGCTTGGTCTTTCAAAAATATATATTGTTATATTCTGAAGAAAATGGCAGGGATTTTTATCATTAAATGTTCAGATTTTTATTGATAAGTGTGTGTGTGTGTGTGTGTGTGTGTGTGTACATATCTTACACTGATGCCTTCAAGACCACTGGGTCACCCACAAAAGGCAAAACAGTGGGTGGCATAGACACAGGGATCAAAGTGTAAGGAAAAAGTAGCAGCTTATAGTCCAGAAATTACAATAATTGAAACAAATCTTGAATTCCAGGAATACAGTACAATCACCAATTGAATATTTTACTCAAACTAAATTTATTCAAAACACGCATACAAATAAACAGATAAACAGTATACATAAGTAGGTGTTAACCTGAAAACTCCCACTTCATGTCATCCAAAGGTGCAACAGCAACATTCTGAGCTTTGGACATGAAAACATGAAACAAAACTAAACTCCAGGTGTGTTTATGAGGAGCCAACAACATTATCACCATCAATTTTGCATAATAAAGGACCCTTAAATAAAATGTAATCTCACCACAAACAAAAATACAAGTCACATTTACAGTACTGTCACCACAAGATGTATGAAAAATTATAAAGAAGGAAGTAGTTTGTAAAAGAAACATGAGCTTTGAGATTGACCATAAACAGCTGACACAGAATCAGATTTGCTGGTTTGAGCTGCAGAGTTGTTGTTCAAAGTGTATATGACGGGTTTTCAGATGTTGTTTTGTTTTACTGTACTTAGTTTAGTGGGTAGTAGCATTTATCATAGTTTTACATCAGTTAAGTCTCAGTTTGTGGGAAAATGTTGAAAAAAAAAAAGTTCAAAAATACAGTTAATAAGTCAACAACACGAAAACTCCATCTAAAATGAAAAGGCAATTTACACACAACAGACATATTTTTCTGACAATTTAAACTTTCATTTAACAAAATAAAGGTGTTGTAATTTATTTTTCTAATCATAAGTACAGTAACATTATGGTTGCTAGGTAACAGTTATGGAACTGTCTCTAGTGTGTCATATCCTGCTGCCAGTGTCCAACCACGAAGTACAATTTTAAACTTAACTTTTAACTTTAAAAACTACAAGAAACATGGCAGTTTTTTTTTAAATGTAACATCTTAAATCTTATGATGTTAAGTATATTTTAGTGAAATGAGGAGTCTAACCTGTCGAATCCAGAAAAAGTCATAATATTATGAGAATAAAGTCATAATTTTACAAGAATAAAGTCGCAATTTTCCTAGAATAAAGATGAAGTCAAAATAAAGTCATAATATTATGAGAATAAAGTTATAATATTATGAGAATAAAGTCGTAATAAACTCAGTCAAAGTCAAAGTGAAAAATGTGGCAGAAGAAGAACTCAATCTGTGTATCATTCCTTCATTCGTTTTTCAATATAAAACTAAAAATAAGAAAACGAAAAAACAAGTATTTTCTTCATTATTTGCATCTCCGGACTGAACCAGGACTAAACCAGGTCCAGGACCAGACCGGGACTGAGACCGGGACTGAGATCGGGACTGAGACCGGGACTGAGACCGGGACCAGACCAAGACCAAGACCAGGACTGAGACAGAGACTGAGACCAAGACTGAGACCGGGACTGAAGCCGGGACCAGACCAGGACCAGACCGTGATACCTGGACCAGACCGGGGCTGAGATCAGGACCAGACTGGGACTGAAAACGGTTCAGTCCTGGTTCAGTCCTGGTTCAGTCCTGGTTCAGTCCTGGTTCAGTCCATATGCAGTGCAATTGTCCCGCATCGCATTTTAAGTCACGGAAACGCCATTTCCCATTTCCATGACCTAAACCAGGACTAAACCAGGACTAAACCGTTTTCAGTCTTGGTCTGGTCCCGGTCTCAGTCCCGGTCTGGGCCTAGCCTCAGTCCTGGTCTGCTTCCAGTCTGGTCCTGGTCTCAGTCCTGGTCTTAGTTCTGGTTTGGTTCTGGACTTTATTCTCGTAAAATTATGACTTTATTCTCGTAAAATTATGACTTTATTCTCGTAAAATTATGACTTTTTCTGGCTTTGACTTTATTCTCATAATATTACGATTTTAATGTCGAAATGTTACAACTTTATTATCGTAGCGTCAGCATCTTTTTTTTATTTTTTTATCTGAGCCTGATACTCCATCGTAGTTTTCAACGATTGTTTAAAATCCTGAGTAACTGATGGCTGATGATTCTGGCCGATAGCTGATGTGCTAGAATGTCCAAACATCGGGCCAATATATCGGCCAACTGAGATATCGGTCTATGTCTAATCATCACAGACACAACATTTCGATGTAAGACTTTGTTAAAACTGTAAAGAGAAACAAAGAAGCCTAAATATGAAGGATTATTAAAACCTGCATAAATAAAACCAAACTTAACTCTATACGCTTTAAAGATACACTGTGTAACTTGTCTGATGGAGGATGTGCCTCCTGCTCGTCTCTATGGTGATGTTATGACTTTGCCTAGAATGCTCCACAGTATGTCATTAAACTTATCCTTAGACCAACATGTAGTGTCACCAGGCCAAGTTACAGGTCAGATCTGTGGAGAGGCGACACATGTTATATTTTAGATCAGAAGTCACATCGACGCATGATTGATAGTTTTAATGCCATACTGTGGAACATTCCAGGAGAAACACGAACATCTTCATGGAGAAGAGCATGTGGCGTATTCTTCATCAGAAAAGTCACACACTGCACCTTTAATCTGGATCACTTCATAACACGGTGACTTGTGCAGAATACTACAGTCCGTTAGCGCACACAGATGAAGTTGAGTGTTTCCTTGGAATTCCTCTTGACCCACTTGTTGTCTCCGTCTCTCTCCATGGCTCCAGCCACTCCACACTGACTCTCTCCTGGAACCTTCCAGTTCTCATTGGTGTCAGAGACGTAGTGACCGTTCACCCAGATCCAAGCCTCCAGAAAGCAGGTGTAGTGCAGCCCCACCCACACGGCGTCGCTGTCGGCCACCTTGGCTCTCTGCTGGGCCATGTTCTTCAGGTGAGTGTGGTCGATGAACCAGGCCAGGTCACGGTGATTTCGTCTGCAGTAGTACAGAGCCTCCTCCCAGGTTTTTTTCTCTTTCACCAGGATGAAAAGGTCTGGACAGACAACAGGCCGTGTTTCCAAGATAAAATAAACAATCACATGAAATAGAAACACTGTAATTAAAGGGGCATTGTGGAACTTTTCTGGAGCAGGGTTTGCCATTCTCTTGCCTCGTGGAGATGTTATTGCTTCGTCTGGAATGTTCCACGTCTGTGTTGGATAATTCTATATCCAAGTGTTTTTATTGCTGTAAAATACTGAGTTTAGTGGCATCACCTGCTTTGTCTCCATGGAGATAAGTTTAATGCCATACTGTGGAACATTCCAGGCAAAACAATATCTTTAGGGACAAGAAGGTTCAAGACCCTCCACCAGAAAACCTCCATAGTGCACCTTTAAAATGGATGGCATAGATCACTGCCTACATCCTGTAATTCAACCTTTTTGTTTCACCTTTTCTTCACAAACTGCTGCTTGACTCACACAAAATAAAGTCATATTAGAAAAAACATAAAACTGTCACATGCACTTTAAGTAAACTTACTGTCGTAGCAGATGAAGGGTCTGGTCTGGTTACAATAATCTCGGATAAATGTTCCCTGAGGTCCCACTTTCACACAGTCCTTGTTGTCATCGGTGAAGCTTTTATTCAAAACTGGATCACTGATGCTCCAGTTTCTGAATGAGGAGTTGCTTCCATCAGACCAGCCCCAGGTGTCTCTGGACAGACCGATCCACCAATTGTCTTTTGTTTCATTACATGTGCAGCTTTCAGTCCCTATTTCCATTTGATTTAACTGGTCCGGTCCACTGATCAGGTCTGTGTGCTGATCTCTGCAGAAGTGCTGAGCCGCAGTCCAGTTTTTACAATCATTGTATGTTATGAATGAACCTGTATTTTTAATCAAAACAATTCAAAGATTAAAGATCAAAAGTACAGCAAATTGCTTTATTTTAGAGTTTAAAATGAAATAAAATGTGTGTGTCTTTCCAATTTCTGCTGTGTTGTTTGGATTTGGTTCTGTCCTTTGATAAACAAATGAAACATCTAAATAAAGTTATGAAAATAATCTTACAAACTGTAGACATATTCAAGACTCCCCAGACACTCAGACATTAAAGGCTTTTCTTCATGCAATGTTTTTTTTGTTGTTTACGTTATTGGTCCCAGGCAGAGAAGACCTTAAAAAGATAAACTGAGATGCTGCATACAATTCTTCACAATGCTTCTCTTATTCCTTCTTTCAGTTAAGATCAGAGCAGATGACTAGAACATCTCACTCATGTGTAAGTTCTGATCGGACCATCCCCTTTAAAGGTTTTATAATGGCACAGTCGACTTTCTTTACACAGCAGCAAAAAACTGGAACATGCTTCAACTGCAGATTTTTAAAAACTTTGTCATGAAAACTGTGGCTTCTGAGCAGACAGTCAACATCAGACTTCTTTAAATGTTGAAACATTCTGACTGATTGTGCTGTACATGTGGATGTGTTGTGTACATGTGTTGTGTACATGTGGATGTGTTGTGTACATGTGTTGTGTACATGTACATGTGTTGTGTACTTGAAGAGTTGTATTTCACTCATGACATTTGTCTTGATGGTAATGTTGATGATGATTGTATTTTAGAGGATAATAATTGTGATGAATTGGACAATTGTACATTTTAGAGGATTTTGATGACAGTAAAAGTTTGTATTTTTAAAAACATTATGATGAATTTGAAACTTTGTCTTTATGAGACTGAGTCTTCATTTATTTTGATGGTTTCAAATGTTTAATGATTGTGGTTATTTAAAGGTGCACTGTGTAACTTCTCTGGTGGAGGCTCCAACGGGACCAAACCAGACCAAGTTATGCCACCTGAATAATTGAAAATAATAACTGAATAAATGTAAGGTAGAACTGTTTAATGTCACACTGTGGGACATTCCAGGCAGAGCAATGACATCTCCACAGAAACAAGCAAGCAGGTGATGGAGCCCCAACCAAAAAAATGACATAGTGCATAGTGCACCTTTAAAGAGTCACTGTTGTTGATGTTATTAGAGGTGATTTAAAGTAAACAGGCTCTTTAATGTCTTCTGTACGTGTCCAAGGACTACAGATGAAAGGAGCTTGTGTCTAAATCTGGCACAGAGCATCTTTTCTCTCTGATGTCATTGTTTTCTGTCCACTCTCCTTGTTTCAAATCAATAAATAACATTTTTAGTCATGAACTCTGTAACTATATTTCTTACTGTTATAGCAAATAAATCTGCTCTTCGTCTCATCATAACACTTCTTTGAATCTTTGTCACAAACACACAGTTCTCTGCTCCACCAGTATCCTTTTCATCTTTTTATACTCCATTAATTAACCATTTAAAACTGAATATTATCTTTTTGAAAAAAAAAATATAATATTCAGTTAAGCCGAGTCTGGTCTGGTTAGTACTGGAAACACCAGGTGCCACAGTGAGGCGCTAGTGACAAAAACTCATTGTGTCCTTAGGCAAGACACTTCATCCACTTTGCTGCGTATGAAAATATGAAAGATGTATGTGCATGTGTTGGTGTTGGTGTGAGGGGCCCATGGTGCAGACTGGCAGCCTCACTTCTGTCAGTTTATCTACTTACACAGATAGTTTATGTAAGTTCTGCCCATATATTTTGTTCTTATTATTTTGTATTCAGTCAATATATATATTTTAATGACCTTATTTTTAATGACTGCCCTTATTTCTACAGCCCAGAGCCCACTTCTTACCACTGGTGGTGTTGTAGCAGATAAAACAGCGATCATACTGACAGCCAGCATCGGACCACTTCTTTGAACTGTCAACAAACACACAGTTCTCTAGTCCACCATGGTCATTTGGTTCACCGCTCTTCCAGTCTTCCATGTTAAAGAGGAAAACTACTCCAGGCAGAGACCAGTGCCATTCTCTCTTGACCCCAGTTGTTCTGTTGTAGAGTCCGATCCAGGCTTCAACTCTAGTTTTGAGAGTGTCTCCATGTCAGTCATGCTCTTCACTGTGGCCAGGTCTGTGTAGTTTTCTCTGCAGAAGCACTGAGCGTCTTCCCACGATTTAGCCTCATTTATGAAGTGGTACACGTAGTTTTGAGACACCGACAAACTACACAGACCTAAAAACAAAAAAAAAAAAAAAAAAGATAACAGATTGAATTCCTTTGAGTATAATTCATCAAAACAGACGTCTAACCTACTGTTAGGTGTCATATTGTTTAGATCTGGTTTAGTCCTGGTTTTAGTCCTGGTTTAGTCCTGATTTTAGACCTGGTTTAGTCCTGATTTTAGACCTGGTTTAGTCCTGGATTTAGTCCTGGTTTAGTCCTGATTTTAGACCTGGTTTAGTCCTGGATTTAGTCCTGGTTTAGTCCTGATTTTAGACCTGGTTTAGTCCTGATTTTAGACCTGGTTTAGTCCTGGATTTAGTCCTGGTTTAGTCCTGATTTTAGACCTGGATTAGTCCTGAATTTAGTCCTGGTTTAGTCCTGATTTTAGACCTGGTTTAGTCCTGGTTTTAGTCCTGGTTTAGTCCTGGTTTTAGTCCTGGTTTAGTCCTGAATTTAGACCTGGTTTAGTCCTGGATTTAGTCCTGGTTTAGTCCTGATTTTAGACCTGGTTTAGTCCTGATTTTAGACCTGGTTTAGTCCTGGATTTAGTCCTGGTTTAGTCCTGATTTAGACCTGGTTTAGTCCTGGTTTTAGTCCTGGTTTAGTCCTGAATTTAGACCTGGTTTAGTCCTGGTTTTAGTCCTGGTTTAGTCCTGGTTTTAGTCCTGGTTTAGTCCTGATTTTAGACCTGGTTTAGTCCTGGATTTTAGTCCTGGTTTAGTCCTGATTTTAGACCTGGTTTAGTCCTGATTTTAGACCTGGTTTAGTCCTGGATTTAGTCCTGGTTTAGTCCTGATTTTAGACCTGGTTTAGTCCTGAATTTAGTCCTGGTTTAGTCCTGATTTTAGTCCTGGTTTAGTCCTGATTTTAGACCTGGTTTAGTCCTGGATTTAGTCCTGGTTTAGTCCTGATTTTAGACCTGGTTTAGTCCTGATTTTAGACCTGGTTTAGTCCTGGATTTAGTCCTGGTTTAGTCCTGATTTTAGACCTGGTTTAGTCCTGAATTTAGTCCTGGTTTAGTCCTGAATTTAGACCTGGTTTAGTCCTGGTTTTAGTCCTGGTTTAGTCCTGGTTTTAGTCCTGGTTTAGTCCTGAATTTAGACCTGGTTTAGTCCTGATTTTAGACCTGGTTTAGTCCTGGTTTTAGTCCTGGTTTAGTCCTGAATTTAGACCTGGTTTAGTCCTGGATTTAGTCCTGGTTTAGTCCTGAATTTAGTCCTGGTTTAGTCCTGATTTTAGACCTGGTTTAGTCCTGGATTTAGTCCTGGTTTAGTCCTGATTTTAGACCTGGTTTAGTCCTGATTTTAGACCTGGTTTAGTCCTGGATTTAGTCCTGGTTTAGTCCTGAATTTAGACCTGGTTTAGTCCTGGTTTTAGTCCTGGTTTAGTCCTGATTTTAGACCTGGTTTAGTCCTGGATTTAGTCCTGGTTTAGTCCTGATTTTAGACCTGGTTTAGTCCTGATTTTAGACCTGGTTTAGTCCTGGATTTAGTCCTGGTTTAGTCCTGATTTTAGACCTGGTTTAGTCCTGGATTTAGTCCTGGTTTAGTCCTGAATTTAGACCTGGTTTAGTCCTGGTTTTAGTCCTGGTTTAGTCCTGAATTTAGTCCTGGTTTAGTCCTGATTTTAGACCTGGTTTACTCCTGGATTTAGTCCTGGTTTAGTCCTGATTTTAGACCTGGTTTAGTCCTGATTTTAGACCTGGTTTAGTCCTGGATTTAGTCCTGGTTTAGTCCTGATTTTAGACCTGGTTTAGTCCTGGTTTAGTCCTGGTTTAGTCCTGGTTTAGTCCTGAATTTAGACCTGGTTTAGTCCTGGTTTAGTCCTGGTTTAGTCCTGAATTTAGACCTGTTTAGTCCTGATTTTAGACCTGGTTTAGTCCTGGATTTAGTCTGGTTTAGTCCTGGTTTTAGACCTGGTTTAGTAGTCCTGATTTAGTTTTAGTCCTGATTTAGTCCTGGTTTAGTCCTGAATTTTAGACCTGGTTTAGTCCTGGTTTTAGTCCTGGTTTAGTCCTGATTTTAGACCTGGTTTAGTCCTGGATTTAGTCCTGGTTTAGTCCTGATTTTAGACCTGGTTTAGTCCTGATTTTAGACCTGGTTTAGTCCTGGATTTAGCCCTGGTTTAGTCCTGATTTTAGACCTGGTTTAGTCCTGGATTTAGTCCTGGTTTAGTCCTGAATTTAGACCTGGTTTAGTCCTGGTTTTAGTCCTGGTTTAGTCCTGATTTTAGACCTGGTTTAGTCCTGGATTTAGTCCTGGTTTAGTCCTGATTTTAGACCTGGTTTAGTCCTGATTTTAGACCTGGTTTAGTCCTGGATTTAGTCCTGGTTTAGTCCTGATTTTAGACCTGGTTTAGTCCTCGTTTTAGTCCTGGTTTAGTCCTGATTTTAGTCCTGGTTTAGTCCTGATTTAGTCCTGGTTTAGTCCTGATTTTAGACCTGGTTTAGTCCTGATTTTAGACCTGGTTTAGTCCTGGATTTAGTCCTGGTTTAGTCCTGATTTTAGACCTGGTTTAGTCCTGAATTTAGTCCTGGTTTAGTCCTGATTTTAGACCTGGTTTAGTCCTAGTTTTAGTCCTGGTTTTAGTCCTGGTTTAGTCCTGAATTTAGTCCTGGTTTAGTCCTGTTTTAGTCCTGGTTTAGTCCTGATTTTAGACCTGGTTTAGTCCTGGATTTAGTCCTGGTTTAGTCCTGAATTTAGACCTGGTTTAGTCCTGGTTTTAGTCCTGGTTTAGTCCTGGTTTTAGTCCTGGTTTAGTCCTGATATTAGACCTGGTTTAGTCCTCGTTTTAGTCCTGGTTTAGTCCTGAATTTAGTCCTGGTTTAGTCCTGATTTTAGACCTGGTTTAGTCCTGGATTTAGTCCTGGTTTAGTCCTGAATTTAGACCTGGTTTAGTCCTGGATTTAGTCCTGGTTTAGTCCTGATTTTAGACCTGGTTTAGTCCTGGTTTTAGTCCTGGTTTAGTCCTGATTTTAGACCTGGTTTAGTCCTGAATTTAGACCTGGTTTAGTCCTGATTTTAGACCTGGTTTAGTCCTGGTTTAGTCTAGTCCTGATTTTAGACCTGGTTAGTTCTGGTTTAGTTCTGGTTTAGTCTAGTCCTGATTTTAGTCCTGGTTTAGTTCTGGTTTAGTCTAGTCCTGATTTTAGACCTGGTTAGTTCTGGTTTAGTCCTGGTTTAGTCCTGGTTTTAGTCCTGGTTTAGTCCTGATTTTAGACCTGGTTTAGTCCTGGATTTAGTCCTGGTTTAGTCCTGAATTTAGACCTGGTTTAGTCCTGGTTTTAGTCCTGGTTTAGTCCTGGTTTTAGTCCTGGTTTAGTCCTGATATTAGACCTGGTTTAGTCCTGTTTTAGTCCTGGTTTAGTCCTGAATTTAGTCCTGGTTTAGTCCTGATTTTAGACCTGGTTTAGTCCTGGATTTAGTCCTGGTTTAGTCCTGAATTTAGACCTGGTTTAGTCCTGGATTTAGTCCTGGTTTAGTCCTGATTTTAGACCTGGTTTAGTCCTGGTTTTAGTCCTGGTTTAGTCCTGATTTTAGACCTGGTTTAGTCCTGAATTTAGACCTGGTTTAGTCCTGATTTTAGACCTGGTTTAGTCCTGTTTAGTCTAGTCCTGATTTTAGACCTGGTTAGTTCTGGTTTAGTTCTGGTTTAGTCTAGTCCTGATTTTAGTCCTGGTTTAGTTCTGGTTTAGTCTAGTCCTGATTTTAGACCTGGTTAGTTCTGGTTTAGTCCTGGTTTAGTCCTGGTTTTAGTCCTGGTTTAGTCCTGATTTTAGACCTGGTTTAGTCCTGGATTTAGTCCTGGTTTAGTCCTGATTTTAGACCTGGTTTAGTCCTGATTTTAGACCTGGTTTAGTCCTGGATTTAGTCCTGGTTTTGTCCTGAATTTAGACCTGGTTTAGTCCTGGTTTTAGTCCTGGTTTAGTCCTGGTTTTAGTCCTGGTTTAGTCCTGATATTAGACCTGGTTTAGTCCTCGTTTTAGTCCTGGTTTAGTCCTGAATTTAGTCCTGGTTTAGTCCTGATTTTAGACCTGGTTTAGTCCTGGATTTAGTCCTGGTTTAGTCCTGAATTTAGACCTGGTTTAGTCCTGGATTTAGTCCTGGTTTAGTCCTGATTTTAGACCTGGTTTAGTCCTGGTTTTAGTCCTGGTTTAGTCCTGATTTTAGACCTGGTTTAGTCCTGAATTTAGACCTGGTTTAGTCCTGATTTTAGACCTGGTTTAGTCCTGGTTTAGTCTAGTCCTGATTTTAGACCTGGTTAGTTCTGGTTTAGTTCTGGTTTAGTCTAGTCCTGATTTTAGTCCTGGTTTAGTTCTGGTTTAGTCTAGTCCTGATTTTAGACCTGGTTAGTTCTGGTTTAGTCCTGGTTTAGACCTGTTTTAGTCCTAGTTTAGACCTGGTTCAGTCCTGGTTTAGTCCTAGTTTAGTCCTGGACTGGTTTAGTCCTAGTTTAGACCTGGTTCAGTCCTGGTTTAGTCCTAGTTTAGTCCTGGACTGGTTTAGTCCTGGTTTTAGAGGCTCACAGGAGGGAGCGCGATCTACGCAGCGTACGAGAGAAAACAGTCCACACGCGGCGCACGGGAGGACAGCGGTGTTCGCGCAGTAACTATGGAAGGAGACGTGACCCGCGCGTTCTCAGGTTGATGACGATGATGAAGGTGTGTGTGTTTGTGTTTGTGTTTGTGTGTGTGTGTTTGTGTTTGTGTTTGTGTTTGTGTTTGTTGTGTTGTGTGTGTTGTTGTGTGTGTTTGTGTTTGTGTGTG